AACCTGTGATGTTGGACGTAGGAGAATGTCGTGGACCTGAGGAAAGAAATTTAATGTTACTAAACAAAAAAAAATATCTTGCCAAAATCTGATCTGAATGTACTGGGAGAACCACAGGTGCATGCACACAAAGCAAAAAACATTTGAGGAAAAATCACTATGAATTCAAAATGGAAAGAATCCCTTGAGAACAAATTGGATAACTTAGAGACTGTTGTTATAAATAACAAAACTATTTCACACCTGAACATGTGGTGGTGCAGACAATGCGTAGATCACAGCATCTGCTATATCTTCTCCCTGAAGAACCTGAAGTTGATGTGCACAATAAGATGTTGAGAAGCACTGTATTTACAGTTTACATAAAGTTAAGCATTACTTCACATTCATCTTGAAGGGATAACAACTCTTCATATTTCACAAATGATACTTTGTAAACAATACAGAAATAATAACAAGCTCCATTTCACCACAAAAATGTCACTTATTGAAATTATTGTGTAATCTGTGCTTGCCATCAGACTATGAGGACCTCCAAACACTTTTTAAAAAACCCACTTGACTAACTTTAAGTGTCAGTACAGATTCATCAACCATCGGAAAATGTGAAAATTAACCCCAAGAAAATGTTTTATGGCACTCCACCAAAATGCAGAGTAGTCATCCCTTTAAACATTACAGTGTAAATACTTAAATTTTAATCTAAGTATTCAGTACTTCACAATAAAACATACTGTTGCAAAATCTGCAAAACATCGATCAACTTGAACTTGTGACTTTTTATTATTTGAGGAACTCAAAATTCATGGCTAGGACTAAAAAATCTTACAGGAGCCTTGGAATATATGGCTTTCGCCTTTTCCTCTTGCCCTTCATGAAGCCTGTATGCAAATTCTGTTTCCACTACACCTGGGCTGACTGCCTATATATTTGAAGAAATTAAATGATTATTAAAATTCCATTTCCTTGTGGCCTTCTTTCCCATCATAATCTATGTCACAGTCATTTGATGCATTAGAACAAAAAGCTGGATTTCATAAATTCATTCCTTTATATTCAACAAATTTAACCCACTGCCATGTGATATAGCCCTGTGACCTTCAATCCAAAAAACAACAGTGGAATGCATGAAACTGAAATTGGGATTTTTTAGTCTCTTGATTGAGACTTCTCCCATACTGTCAGTTTTTATCCAGTTGATTAACAATTAATCCACATGGGGCATTGTTAAATCACATGAGAAGACATGAGAACATTTTGAATCAGCTGAGTTGGTCTTCTTATAGAATCTTGACTGGATTTCCAACTCCTGTGTAATTCAAAGTCAAAATATTAGTTCCTGCATGGCCAAGTAAATACATAGGGTAAGATAATCAATGACAGCAAATAAAGTGAGTATACTTCAGATGATTGGGAAAATTTCTTTTTTGGAAGATCTTCAAATGTTTATTGAGAGAGGGAAAGTATGAAAAGAGCATGCAAGAAAAAAGAATTCTGAAGTTTGAAAGAAGAATTATTCATCTGTGTTTTCACTTGAAACTCCTAACTCTAGCACTGCATTTTTGGCAATTTTTTAAAAATATAATCATTATATCTTTTTCTGTGATTGCATCTGGCATTTTTTTTTCTTTTAAAGCATATAAACTTACAGACACCCTGATATTAGACTCCAGTGCCCTGCACTCATTTCTCATCCCCTCCAGTATACCACGTACTGCAAACTTTGTGGCTGCATAAAAGTGAAGCTGAGGAGTGTTAGGAACTAACCTATATGCTCCCATACTGAAATGTAATTGTTAATTTCAAAGTCAATGTTTGGATTTCTAAAAATCTTGCCACCTGTCCTCCCTTCCCAATCAATCATATTCAATCACTTACACTGATTCTTATATTGGTCTTCAGAGCTCGGACTTCATTCCTCAGCCCTTCAAGAATGCCTGTTACAGCATACTTGGTGGCTGAATAGAAATGGATGGCTGCTGATGGTATAACGCGATGTCCCGACATACTGAAATATTTGGCGTAAACATAATTTTCTTCAGTAATGAAATTACATGTAATCATGAATAAAGTGTTTTGCTTAAAAAACAAGAGGATTAAGTAACCCCCTCGATCCATATGTTAAAATTCCATTAAAATGTGTATGATACTGTCCTATGTGATCTCTTGCACCCCTACCTTACCCTCTACCAGGACCACAGATTGATTTTTCACTAGATATTCCCAGATATCAGTGTGTCCCTGGATAATTTATAGCAGTTTTTTCTACTGTGAGCGAGGATTTTTGCATGGAAATTATTTCATCATTAAACTGGCCTCTAGTATGGAGTACCCTTATCTCCTACCATAGTATGAAAAAATATGCTTTGAAAAAATTATTATGGTACACACATGTAATCTCGGTGAGCTGCATGATCTCCTACCTGCTTATAAGTATTATATGTCCATCATCAACCTTTCTTTCTCTCATTGATTTGAATGCTTCACGGCTACAGATGCACAGACCCATTATGTTGACCTTGTTTAAATAAAACTAAATATCAATGATGCAAGTATATATGTAAAAAACAAAACTAAAGACACAATAAAATACTGCAACAGGTATTTGAAAGAATGGAAAATGATAAGTTTTGAAAACACTATTGAATTCCGCTGTAACTAGGTATTTTATGCTTACAACCTTTTTGTTCAAAAGACTTAGCAACTTAGCTTCTATTATAAATCAGTATTACATCTAACATAGTTTTCCACTGCTCTGTTGCTCCACTGAGTAATGGTGCATTGAGTGCCAAACCAGCATTATTAATGCACACATCAACACCACCCCAGGTCTGTTTGATTGTTTTGAACATGGACAGTATTTCCTCTTCATTGGAGAGATCACATTTGATTGGTAGCAAAGTTCCATCCTTATCTTTCAGCTCATCTGCCAGGGCCTAAAGTAAAAGGAGGTGCATTTAAATTTAAATGAATAATTTCATTTGAACTGCTGTCTTTTTCTTCAGTTTGGCCTGCATAAAAGAAAAATAAGTAAGCAACAATTCAGTTAATTTTACATGTGAATACTGAATGCCTGATTAAATATTACATTACTGTCATTCTCACAAATGTAGGCTTCACTGGTAGTTACTGGCACAATAAAAGAATCCAATAGAAAGGAGGAGACACATGAACCCTAAAATATACTGGTAGAAAAGAAAATTGTGCATGCGATATGGTGTGCAACATGTGTTTGGTCAAAGATGTATTCCATTTCCTGATGATATGCCCCTGTTATGCTCCACTAAGATCCATTTATTACATGTATACTGGGCATTGCAGCTCCAGAGCCCATTAGTGAATTATTTCTTACCATTCTACAATGTAATTATTTTGATATAGCAAAATGCACAATGGACTTTTTAGATGCCTGTTTTAAAGATAGGGATGTGAAAATTACATCCATGCTGAATAAAACGTCATCACAAATGATGCAGTTTTCTACAAGTAGTAGATATAAGATGAGTTGACGCAGCCTATATTTTCAGTCAAGTAGAATTAAAGTATATATTTTTATGTAGTGATCCACATATTGCTTAGTACAAATACATTTTAAAGGTCAGCGTTAAGTAGCTGGGTAAACTGTGTTATCGATCCCATGCCCTATGTGTCTGCAAGATAAAATAACGGACAGCAATCTGGGGTACAGTCCCTGCATACTAGTAGTGGTTCATTACATTTCTGCGTTGACTACAAGGGCCTACCCCGCACAAGATAACTTTAAATTAAGCACATGTTAACCTTAAATTACACAAGCGCTAATAAAAACTACTACCGGCACTTGACTAGGGTACAGTTGATCACTGTACCTGTATTTTCTCAACGCCTCTCGCACACCCCACCACCTTCATTCCATGCTGGACAAGTTTTCTGACAATAGCAGCGCCTATACCGACTGAAGCACCAGTCACCAGAGCTACCCTTCCCTTCCAACGATCCATTGCCCAATGGCCAAAGTTGTGAACTGAACTTCGTGTACCACTTGCGTACGTTTCATGGGCGTGTATTATCAAGACAAGCTGCGACCACGTCTTTTAATGCTTAGGCCTATGTGTTTTCATTGAAATCGTTTTCTGCATGCTATATGGTTTCTGTATGCTAGTATCTTTTATCTGTTTTACAGACTAAAAACATATAATAGAAGTATACCACGTACTATATCATTTAGTGAAAGTTTAGGACCACTCTCTACCTGTAGATAGCTCTGTAGAAACGCACGAAATTTATGCGTCACCACTCCTTTTGACTTTTAAAAAATATGTACACTGTGCTCACGCATGAAAACAAATGCCTCAAAAGGTAAAACGACAATCATTTTGCACTTCCATGTACCGTGAGGTGGAAACTCTAATTTTCATCTTACCTCTCATAGCTATATAGCTAGGCCTACTAGGCCTATCTCTTGTCCGCTCCTGTAAGCCAACCAGTTTTCCCGTCGACGGAGCTATGAGTAAGGTAGGACTCAACCATCAGCACACATACCTGTAGGGTACCCGGGTTAGAGTCGGCTTCGCATCTGCAGGCCACCCCTCTTCAAAGAATCCTGAATCCGCTCCTGTTTTCCACTACGATCTCACATAGGCCCTTACATTATATGTTTGATCCCTTCCTAAAAAGGGCAATATTAAAATGTTACAGAACGCAATGGTCGCATTTTCATCATTGTTTTTTAATACTTAAAAAACGACATCACATCTGAAAAAAAAAAAAAGAATTAACCATTTAGAACCACTTCTGAAATGCTCTTATAGTGAAATAATATTGATTTTATAAAATCTTTTAGGAATTGCCCGTTATATGTAAGCCTATGTAATGCAACAACATGCACTTGGAGATTTGGGCCATAGCGCAATGACCGGTTTATCGATCTCTGCAAATAATAAGACCCAAACCCTGGTTGCTTGTATGGCTGAGAACGACACACCTGTACCACGTGCATCTTTAGTCTTTGTGTAGAACTACATACCGGTAATTCTGCACTTTAAACATGTTACCTAGTCAACAGATTGTTTCAGTGGCGTTCTTCGTGGCAGTATTCTTCCCTCAAAGTTTCTGTAAGACGGAGAGAAGTTTAATGCGCGTTTTGAGTGAAGATAACGAAGTTACCGTTCGCATATACAGCGATGGAGCTAACACTGTAACAGCGTATTTCATTGCCAAAGATGAGCTGGTAGACTGTACTGTAATGCGTGCAAACACCACCTTGGCCAACATACTGTTTTCTGAGGTATCGTATCGGTGCTCACCTTCATAGGTTATAACATAAATAACATAATGTAGATGAAACAGAGGTGAAATGTAGCAATTTTAATAAGAAGCCACAAATATTTGTCAAGCAACTGTTTATAACATTTTAAGAAAACTAACAATATTCTGTAAAACTGGCATAAAAATGAACTGCATACTTAGATGTGCTGTTCCTCGGTTGCTTCTAAAACGTTAAGTTTTATAACACTTCCACAGAGTTTGACTGACCAGACAAACGTCCAATCCCTACAACATCAGACCTTGTTAGAAATGGACGTTCTGCGCTTGGCGAGAAGATGTAATAAATTCCATCGGGATATGGTAAACCATACTGTCATCATCAGCTGCTTTTAACATGAGAGAAATTACAAAGACGTTAACCATAAGTCAGTCTTGTATGCGTATATTTAATAGTGAAATAATTTAATACTAGAAAAGGGCACTTTCCTCCTTTTCGCGAATTTTCAACTTTTTAAGTGTAAAATGGTGTCCAAAAACAGCTGGATTTTTGATGAATTGTTATAAGGGGAAGTTAACGGGACTTCTACCTCTTTGAGCCAGTTCAGATTCCGATAGTTGATTAAAAAATTACCGAAAACCTACTTATATCGCAAATAACTAACTGTATCATTTTGTTTTTGATGACAGAGACGAAAATTGTTAAATGACCCATCATCGGTTCCACGGCAAGTTAAATCCAGGCAATTGCTGAACTCGAAAATCCAAGGTATGGTAATTGCGTGCAGTGCCACTTTACAACTACACCACGTTAACAGTCTCTGGGAGCGGTCAGCTCACGGCTATAGAGGTTAAGGTTCCCTCCCCGTTTTGGGGTTATCACCAGTAGTCCGCCAACATCATCAATCCAAAGTTGCACAAGACGTAAACAACAATCCAGCAATCATTGTAAATAAAATTACATTTGGTTTAGATAATCTAACTTTTTTCTCAAGGAACCAGGTGGTGCGGGCGGCGTCCAGATCCAAAAGCTAAGCTTTCTGATGAAAAGACGGACGCATGCTGCCGTGCTCTACACAACTGTAAGGAAATCATCCCAGGTACGTGTTGAACTTTTAAGAAAATCTAAATGATTGTTTCCACACAACAGAAAATAAGTATAGATTTGGCAGATTTCTGTTATTAAAGTATTTCTGTCATTTAATATACAAACATTAAATATTACTTTAGGTAACAGCAGGTCACACGAGTTGTACAACTACGACAACTATACGCTTCCGAGCTGTAAATGCGTCCATGCCTTCCGAAGCTGCCTGAAGAGAACCGACAGTGAAATGTCAAAAACAGTTGGAGACGTGTTCTTCAACTCATTTAATTGTTTCGAATTGAAGGAAAAACAAAAATGTGTTTCTTGGGATCGTTGGTTTATTAAGTGCAAAAGACATGAAAAATCCAAGTTTGCAGTGAGAAAACATGTTTCAAATTTTTAACCATTCTCAAGACTTTGGTAGTTCGAAGTACTATTCCTTGAACGACTGCCCTCGTATGCGTAAACCAGAATTCATTTAATGGCAAATACGTACGGTCGTCAGAATTAATGATAAATAAATTTATTGGCTATAATCTCTCTCTCATCTTGTATGCTACTGGTCAAAATTTGTTTTAAAAACATGGTTACGGCACCTCATATCCATGCGTTTGCTGAAGACTCATCTTCGCCTATTTGGCATGATGTTCATATGGTTGGAAAGATGAAGTAGCTGGCAATATGTTAACAATCTATTACACTACCGTGAGTCTAACTCAGGTTATAAATTCTTCTCTGTAAAATAATTTGAAGGCAAGAAACACCTGGTGATATATGTGACTGCTACACCACATATATCACCAGGTATATATGTGACTGCTGCACCACACTTAATGAACATAAAGCAAATATATTTACAATGATATAAATGTATTAGCTTTCGAACAAGTAATGTTTTAAATATAAATTACAACAACGTGTTCTAAGAAAAAGAAAAAAAATTAAGAGGGGGGTATTCTATGTTGAATGCCATGCACTGTTCTCGTACGTTTGGATGTAGTGCGTTGACATGGTGCAATTACATGGGTGAAAGTTGTAAACTGAAAATCCTGAAAACGTAGCTTGCAATTTTTCACTGCATAAAGACCATATGAAAAACATGTATCAAAGTGAAGATTGAAAACCCTGAAATCGGGCATTATTCTGAAAACTTTCACCCATGCCAGAAGAAATCTCAACACAATTTCCTTTACTCAGTGCCATCAACCTGGGAGGATCGCAGGACATATTCTGAAATGAGAATTGGAACAAAAATAAGTAAAATCAGACAGATAAGACGGATTTAAATGAGAGAAAATTGTATTGTTCAATACTGATAAATACCTTGCGTCTAATATCTATCAAAATACTTCTGTACTCAGAAAAGCAACATGATTTACTCACTGGCACTGTTTCTACGAGAAGCGGGTGGAATGCCGGATTTCCTTCTGTGGCCCTCCGATGTTTTCTCCCTAGTTATATGTACAGAAAAATCAGTTACTACGAAAAATAGTTAACTGACAAGCCAAAACTGTTGCCTGAGCTCATAAAATGTGTTTAAATCTTGTTAAAAAGAAAAGTTACAGAAATCTACCTAAACATTATAAAGATACTACACTTTGACAAAAAAAAAAAAAATACCTTGGCTGTCCAGTATCGGATTTATCCACTTGTTCCATTACAGGAATAACGTCTTTGGAACCCTGAAATACCAAAATATTACTATACTGAATAAACTGTCCACTTTAAAAATGCCCTCCAGTATAAAATACAAACTTAATAGTACGTAGAAGGCTATAGATAACAATTTCTTGTCACTTAAAGAGAAACTGTGCTTTAAATATTTTATTCTTATTTCACAAGATGAAATCTGACAAAGTGAATCATTTATATCGTCTTTTTAAATGATAAATGCACGTTTTCATGAGTTCTACTCACTTTCATTTTTGAGACCTCATCATTTGATTTTTCTTTCGGCTTCACTGGGGTTCTCGTTCTTTTGGAATGCCGCTTTGGCAAATCATTTCTATAATCCAATATAGTGATATCCATATTATCAGCCTTGGAACTGGCAGCTGAGCATTCAGATATAGTTCTTGATCTTAGAGTTCTAACTGCAGTTACACTTTTTGAAATGGACTCTCTGTCAAGTTTAGATACTTCATTTTTACTATCTGGCAATGATCTGGTTATAGCACTGGTATCAGTTTTTCTCAGCTTTGCTGGTGACAACTCCACATCTGATGTAAAATCATACACCTGTAAGCCAGAAGCACCTTCCACACCAGACATACTGACCAATGCTTTAGTCATTTCTCTTTTGGGACGTTCAGACTTTCTTGTTCCTTTCATGGCACTATGTGGTCTTAACCGTCTTTTTATAGGACTAGGAGATAACTCCAATGCTTTTTCTGGATTTCTTTTAATCTCTGCTTGAATCTCAATTTCTGGCGATTCTTCTCTTTCTTGTAAATGTTCAATCTTTTTCAAATGCTGTGATAAATCTGGGAGTGAAGCAACATGTCTAGTAGCAGTATGTTCAATGTCCGAGGTAGAGTCTGGTACAGTTTCCAAGCCAGTGTCAATAAAATCTTTCACAGTTTCTTTTGTGGTTAATGACTCCACATCTTCTTCTCCAAATTCACTACCGTTTCGGGATAACTACAAAAATTAAAAATTATACACCACACCTTATAAATGAGAAGAAAACCAAAAGTGTTTTAAAGTGAAACATAGAATTATTTGTGTCTTATGCATAATAAAAAAAAACTGCATTTATTTTGAAATAAAACTTTTCTCCAGCATTTCTCCAGCCAAAATATCTTGTATCGAATTCTTAATTATGTTTATAGTGCGGATCTATTACCTCCATGAAAGAGCTTTAAACTGTCCAAATAACAAAAAGTGACACTTACCAACACCACATCCTCTTCAGACTCAGAATCCATGTTTAGGATCACACTGTTAATATCTACCTCCATTACTTCCAAATCACTCTCATCTTTATCCAATCCTTCAGTCTCTTCGTTTAAAGTTTGAAATTGCCTCTGTTAAAATTAGAATACAGCTGAATTTACAAATGAGTAAAATGAATTATTACATCTACTAATTTCTTACCATAATAACAAACTGAAAGTGAGACACTTTATACTTATCAAATACTAATAAATGTTAATATCTACCTCCATCACTTCCAAATCACTTTCATCTTTATCCAATCCTTCAGTCTCTTCATTTGAAGATTGAAACTCCCTCTGTTAAAATTAGAATACAGCTGAATTTACAAATTAGTAAAATGAACTATTACATCATTTACTCATTTCTTACCACAATAACAAAGTGAAAGTGAGACACTTTATACTTAAATTTTTATATCAAACGATTTTCAGACAAACCATAATAATATTCAAATTTCTAATAATTGGAAGATCTTGTGTTGGTAGTCATCAATATTTGTTTTTAAACAAATCTTATATAATATGTGAAATCTAAATCACATCTTGTTCAGACTGGGTGGTATATTCTCATATTTTTACAGGTAGAAAGGTGTGTAATTTTTTAACTCCATACAATCTTAAATCCCAACATATATCTGTGCAGCCATCAATTATTTGCTAAGTCTGCATAAAAAAAATTAGTCATTTCTGTTTTTGCTCATAGATTTCTCTTCAATGCCACAAATTTCATTACACTGTTTAATACCTGCATTTCTGCAGCAGTTTTCTTGTCAGCTGTAGTATCCACAAAGAAGGTGAGCTCCTGGTCTGCAGTTGCACCTTGATCATCCTTGTGCAAAGTTGAATTCTCACCATCTACACTGCTATTATTTTCTTTCTCGGTGACATGCTGTTCTGTCATTATCTATAAAAAGAAGCAAAACATCTAACAAGTTAATCATGTTAAAACTACAACCACAATGACAGCAGATACAACTTTTCTCATCAAACACACAAACCTTTTATTTACTTTTAGCAAAACAAATGATAGATATATACTATTATCACTGTTACCATGTAAATTCTTTTTAATATAGTATACACATTATATCAAAGCACACATGGAGTTAAGAGACAACTAAAATATCAGTGCAGTCAAACTTGAAGACAACCTCTAGACACATACATCCAATAACTTTTCCAGCAGTTCCTCATCTGCTTCAGCTGGATTCAGCAGAAATCGACTTATGTGGATTCCTTTAAACTTTTTAGTTTCTGGCAAACTGTCAACAGCAACTGCGTGGTTCTGCCTCAGCCAATCCATGAAGTCAGGAGGTGCTGGTATACTTTGGGCAACCTAAAAAACCACATTAAGATATGCTGAAAAGTGTCCCAAATGGAGGGTTATAAAATCATACATCTACATTAATTGAACACTACAACACAAATCATCAAATCTCTATGAAAATGACAGGGCTCTTGTCAAGATGAGCCTTAAGATGAGCAAATTTCTTCAATTTCTTTTCACATTGTACCAGTATTGTTAAGTACACATATATTTTACAACACAAACAAGCATAAATGTACCTGCAGTATTTCTTGTATATTGACTTCTCCTAGACTTCTCATGGCAAAGCGAACAGCCACCATGTACTTTGAGTACCATGCACATGTCTCCTTAGCAGGAGGACTTGACAGGATCTTCCTAGAATTAAAATAAGGGTCTTACCTTTTTTAGCCCCAAAATATCAATATTTTTTAATATATTTGAAAACTTATCTTTAAAAGCATTGATTGTTGGTAGCAACAATCAATTTACTTCTTGTAAGTCCTATCTTTTACAACACCTTGAAAACCTGGAGTGTAAAAAAAAAAAAAAAAAAAAAAAACAGACCTGAACAGGGGTAATATCACATCTTTATCCATTTCTTCCACTGCCTCCAACTGCAGAATAACATCTAGGTAGTGTACAGGTGAATTTGGTAACAAGAAATGCACAACAAATGCCATGTGTTCACCAAGTTCAAAATCCTCCTCCACTTTCCTAAAGAAAAGACAAATTAAGCTAATGAGAAAAATGTACCACAGCACAGACACTGTAAAATGAATTTGCACTTTTACACCCTTTTCATTTTTGAGAGAGGAGAAAGCAAAAGACAGCACATAATAGAAATCGTCAGGCTCAGATATCACCATTCAGTCATTTCAGTTCAGACTGGGGCGGTATTCATATCATCACAGATAATCTGATTTTGCATCATCATCTTAAATTCTTCTTAAAATCATTGAAGTATTACTTCAGTTATTCATTCCAATACCTTATTGAAGTCTCTCTAAAACATTATGTTACCATGCTATTATATTACAATTCTTTTACCAAGCATTTTCAAAACCTTTTAAATATGAATGCTTACATATTACATCAAATATCTATAATAAATTCTTCATTTGGTAACAGTCAACACATTATATCAGTTAATGTACCTGTTTAACACCAAGTTGAGGTCTACATACAAGCTCAATAAGCTAGCCATTAAGTCTGCATAGGAGGGCTTATCGAAACACTGAAATCAATACAAGTAAAAACATAAGTAAAACAACTGAAACAAAACAAGCCATGCTAATCAGAAATATATGTGAATTCTAATTTTGTTTTAAAAAACATGTAAACCAAGTCACAAATAATTGCAATTATTGCTGTGAAATGTCTTACCTGATTTAAATCTTTATTTTTGAAATGGAAGAACACCAAAAGGTTCAAAATTTCTCTTCTTAAGGACTTTCCACTGCAAGAAAATCATATCATACATAGAATTGCATTCAAGTGTTGTATGCCCATTAACAGTAAATTTTCCAATCTAAATTAAGGACTTCTAAAGCAAAGTTTACTGCATAATTATGAATACAAATATTTAAAATTTGTATAATCTATTTTGCATATAAAGCTTAATATGCAATACCATTACCCTCGGTGTTTTCTGTTTGCAATACACTCTGCAACTGATATTCCTAATTTTCTGAAAAGAAAATCTTTTTCTAAGTACATATATGAACAAAAATTGTCCAATCAAATTAATGACATTCTTCTTTGGTTCATTTCTACATCTGTAAATTTCAAACATTGTTTTATGATTATCTGATTAACACCCCTTTCTTCCACATAAGTAAAGCAAGATGTTAATTTGTATTCATAGAAATTCAATAAAATATTCACTCATTAGATAACTTAATATATAAGATAACTTACGTTAGGCATATGTGCATCAGTTTTTGTAGAGTTTGGAGATTAGAACTACTCCTGTTCAGGGTTACAAGACATAATTTTCTAAAGTTTCCTAGCCAGGGGAACCTGTCCTCTCCTTCTGCAGAAGCAATAGGCTTGAGAAAAAAATTAAACAAACTCATTACAATATGATCTTAACAAATTTTCTGAGATTGGAATAAATTGCTATTTTTTTCAGAATAATATGAATGACAGTAGGTGCTTAAATCTAAGTTGCGATTATTTAATGTTAACACTTGTCTCTGAGACTTGCTGTACATATGTAAGACTTCTAGAACTATCATTCTATCCATTATGTCCAGTTTAACTCAATTTTGTGTTATCACAACAAATATGTCCTACCTTGCCTGCTTCAGAGACAAGTCTGAATAACTGTGTCTCATCTTCATCATCAAACTTCTTAGCCAGATAATTTAAATCTAAAAAAAAAGACCATATTTTAAAATGCCAAAATGCTATAAATGTACTGTTTGAAAAAGGCTGCCTTTCACATATAACTTCCCTTGGATACAGCAACCATTTAGCCGCTGAAGAATTAAAAGTTACTTTGAATCTTCAAATCCTTCATAACTACTGATCAGTATGCCATCAAAAAAAATCAAATTAAGAATGTTATTAATTTATTTAAGTGGCGTCCACTTTACTTTAACACTTACACAGACTTCTCTTTTCATGAGGATCTAGTGTGCTGATACTTTCTTCACTCAGGGCCTGCCCCTTTTGGAGATATAGATTGTAGGCATACAGATTTTCAATTGGCTCAATATATATCCACTTTTCTTGAGACTTCTCTCCAGCAACTGACTGATCAGGATGAACGTCAAAGAGTTTCCTGATAAAAACAAACAAACAAAAAGAAAAACAATATTATTGCATAAAGCTAGTAATATATCTCTATAAGCACCATATCTTTGTTCAATTTCATACTACATTCCAATGAACCCAAGGGACTTTCCAGGCCTAGGGTAAACTACACGTACTGGCTAGTAGTGATAAAAATTGACATCTGATAATTAAACTCTCATTTCATAATTTTCTTTTATAGGTCAACTTATGTCATAGCTGTTTACCAACTTTTTAAAAAGAGTCAAGTATTTTTCAAGGTGGGTTTCCAAGGTTGTCTTCAAGGCTCCATCTGGTAGATCATGGACAGCTTGTTGAAATACCTTGTTCCATTCACTTTCATCAAAGTTTTCTGAAAGAGGATTTTCAATAAGTTTTTCCAGGGTGAATATCAAAAACAAAAACTGAACAATCTTGATGGTTCTACGGTGCAAAAAAAAAAAAAAAAAAAAAAAAAATTCCTAGATAGGCTGCATTTCACCCTCTTAAGATATCTTTTAAAACGACTTATGCAGTGAAATACATACGCAGCGAATTGATACCGATGTTTAGGCAGTTACTAGTATTGCAACCAACTCATAGGTATCCCTTCTACTGATAGTACCACATAGTTGTGAAAAAAACTATTTAGAAATGTAAAATTAATCCTTTACAGTGAACTAGACTACAATTACACATATTTTAACGTATATATTTTTCATGTGCTGCCTTTTAAGATGTCAGGTTTTAATGAACACGGGCCAAACACTTCTAGATATGTGTGACAAAAGGTTCTAACGTTCTCAACCGTTTAATGTCAATCAAGTACCTTTAGAGAGCCTATTTACCAGCAAAGAAACGAACTTCTTTGCTTTTTTCATCGCAAAAATACTAAGTGATAACTGAGACCGCTAATCCAAATTGCAATCCACGTGTGTTAATTCTGCAAAAATATTAAAAACGAAGTTGAAAATACATTTTTAGTGACGTTTTTATCAATGTGTCTTAATTGAATTTTTAATAGGGCTAAACTATGTTAACTATGAATAAAACTTTATTAATAAAACATCTTTAGTGATATTTTATAATAAAATATTTCAATAGAAGTCATAAATATTCCCCAAGATATGTACGAAACTAAATGTTGACAAAAAATGAACTCGGCAAATTCATCAACAAAGTGCATTGTGGGATTGAATCAGAATATAATGTCCGCTTTTAAGATTCAAGAGAACCTTCACCTATTTGCTGTTTACAGGAGATTTTGGAATGGAGGAGCTGTATGAATTACCCCGAGCAGTTCTTGTTTACAGATCCCACTTTTATTAAGTGTCTGATCTTTTGTACAATTGCTTGATCGCCATGGAACACATGAGGAAACACTCAGCACCAAGTGAGCATCACCAAGAACTTGAAGCATTTGTGTGTTTTCGTTGCCATATCCAACCGGTTTGATGTACTATCTAATGCCCTGATAATTATTTTTACTTTTATTTCTGTTTTAGATATCAATGGGCTGAGCAGACCTAGCGAGGGTTCTCAAGAAAGAAAAAGGAGGAACTACAAATTACTTGTAGACCCAGTGTTGCACAAGGGGCAACAGAAATTATATAGATTTGAAGGTGTAATTCCTGGGGTAAGAATATATACCCAGGTCAGAGAGTGGACAAAATATGACAAGGATGTTCTTTCTAGACAAAATTGTGTATAGTGAACTAATAAATAACACAGTCAAAATATTAAGATAAGAAATTACATGTAAAAGAAAGAAGAAATGGCCACAACTTATATGAATTTTGAATTTGTATATTTTAGGAGCATTTAAAGACCATGCAGTCTTTTTTCAGTTTTACCTTTGCAGAGCTGTTCTTGAAATATTACTGTTTCTAACCCCTTTGATACTTCATTCTCTGACAGTTTGTGGCACAATTATTTTTAGGATCCAACGCCAGTGTTTGTAAGAGACCCAAGGCCTAGGCTGAATAGACTGTGGACAAAAATAAACCAAGCAGATCTTGTTGTGCCACAGTTTAAGGTTTGTACGTAGGGTAGTTATGGACTTATGGTTGATTTTGAAGTTGGATTTTCTATATTGTAAGTTCATATGATATGATTATCATTTTTTTAACCAAATGAAATTTTAATTCTTATGGATCAGAATGGCACATTTTGTTTATCTTTCCAGTATGATGAATACTATGTTGGTATACCACTACCAAAAGAGGTGACATTTACAAACCTAAATGACAACATTGACAACAGATTCTTAGATGGCATGGTGCGGTCGTTTGGGGTAGTTGAAGAGTGTAAGATTTACTACCACCCAAAGACCAGAAAGCACCTGGGAATTGCTAAGGTATAAAGATAATTTGTAGTGCAGGACTTAGATGCAATATTTTCTTTTTTGTATGCATTCAGTGACTCTACTTTATAATGGACATTAATGTGATATTAGACAACAATAAAAAAAGAAACAGTAGCACCCCTTTTGATAAAAAGAGAAAAAGGGAATGTAGACTTTAGCTTTGCTTTCTATTAGATGAAAACTTCGGCGTCTTTGGCATAAAACACAACATCTGTGTACTATAACAAATTGGTGGGAAGAATATTGTGACAAACAAAGGTGACACAGTCACACCTATTTGAGTTTGTATTTAATTTAGTTGTTTTCTTATAGGTCATGTTCACCTCTACCAAGGCAGCTAGAATATGTGCCAGCAGGCTGGACCAAACATCAAAGATGGGAAATATCATGAATGTGTTTGTAGATACCATGGGTGTGTATTTTTATCATTCAGTGAACAAATCCCCAGTGATTTGATTGCTTGTGAAATATCCCATCTTCCTTCCACATTGTTTGTTTGTTTGAAGTTTTCAGAGGTATTTGTCCCTGTTAATTGATAGAGAGTAGTGGAATACAGATGTCTCATTTCAATATTAATCCAATATATCTATAAGTATCATATAAGTATTTGTTGCATCAAGGAAAAAAAAATTTAATCGATCATAAATGAAATCAATGTTTTTCTGTACAGTTAACAGGTGTAAGTCAATAAAAATATTTTCACTCCTACAAATGACAGTGCTTATTCATATTAAGTATCATTTAATGCATATTGACATTCATTAAAGATATTATGTTGCTTTATGGTGTAAGGTTGCATTCTGCTATCAGGTTAGTGGTGTAAAACTTTCACTGCTGCTACCAGTCTTTAATAACAAAACTTTCAAGTATTCTTTTACCTTGACAGGTACAGAAAGGCAGAAGCTGATTGAGGACTTGACAACAGATAAACCCAGGATTGAACCAAGACCTGCCACACCAGAAATCCCTCTACATTCAGGCAATCACTCAAGGAATGACAAGGGATATCGTGATGAATCATCATCATCAAAAAGCTTCAATAATAATTCCACAGGCAAGGGGGCAGATTTTACACCCTCTAACAATTCATATGGCACAACACCAGCAGGAAGCCACTCAGATGTTGGCTATAGCACAGGACGCTCAGACTTCTCCCAAAGTGGTGGTTACTCTGTTGGCCAAGGGGAATTAGGCTTCTCAGAAACTTCTTCTGATTTGGGATTCACCCCCTTGTCACAGCAGACACCTATGATGGGCTACCAGGAAGGGTTTGATCGTTTTCCGCCTGCTTCGCACAATGTAAACAATATGAACATGTATAACATGAATATGGGTGGGCAGAATTTTGCCTATGATATGCCTCCACCACAACAGCAGTTTGATATGCAAAGTGGGCAGGCTCCTATGCAAAATCAAAATTTTGGAGGTTTTAATGAATACAACAGGGAGTTCAATAGATCTCAGCAACAGCAGCCCCCCAAGGATTATCATGACAGACATACACATCGTGAGGAAAAGCATAGTAGCAGGCATAGGAAGAAATCTCCAGAACCAGAGAAACCCAAATCATTAAGTCTGGAATCCAGAATTGAAATGCTGCTAAAACAGTCAAAAGACTTGGGAGCTTCCTTTGGTAGCCCAGATGACTCATCAGGAGGGGAACATCCTCCTCCCCCAGATGAGGCCCCTCGTTCACATACTCCTCCCCCTCTTCCTGTGCCTTCCCGCAGTGACAGGGCAGCATATTCAGACTCTTCTCAGAGTAGTAATAGAGAGGACAGGACTAAACATATTGATTCATATGAACATCGTAAGAGGAAAGAATCAGAACAGACAATTTCTAAGGCCCCAGAGCTTCCACCCACAATTCCTCCAGGTCCGTCTGTGCTGGAGACACAGGACAGTAAAGGGGAAGATATGGATTTGGACAGCAGTGACAATGAAGACAGGATGAGTGTGTCTTCAATTAGCAGTGGAGAGGAAAAGATAGAAGTCAATCCAATTGTTGTCCCAGATCTGTCAGTCCCGCCTCCAAATATGAGCAATATGGGCATCAACCTTACGGTCCCCCCTCCAGGACCTATGTCTGCCTTCAACCCCATGATGCCAAACTCCATGATGAACTTCCAACCACCCAACTTGGGCAATCCCATGATACCCCCTATGATGGGAAACTGGAATCCTGGCATGGGACCTGGTTTTGCTTCAGACATGAATGTCATGATGAATGGTAACTTTAACATGAATAATGCACAAAGTGGCATGCTAAGCCCTACTGGGTATAACCAACATCTAAACCAGATTCCGTCCAATTTTAACATGGGGGAAAACATTGGCAACATGAACTGTATGGAAGGTCCCCTAGAGGGGGAAATAACAGATCCAAGAGATGAAATATTTCATGAGGGATTAGAAAAAATCATTACTGAACTGAAACAGATCATGAAAAAGGATCTGGGAAGGAAAATGGTGGAAAATTCTGCATTTAAACATTTTGAATGTTGGTGGGACAGAGAAGAATCGGAGTTAAAGGTATGCAAACTTATCATTACATCTGGCATATTTTATGGACGCCTGCTGAGATTTAAGATTTACTCTTCTTTAAACATTTCGTAATTATTCCTTGGTAGGATGGATATCTTTTGTGGCAATATTTGTGACAATATAATTTTTTTTATATTTCAGAAGTCCAGTCTTCAAGTACAGAAACCCATCCCAGGTACCGAGAAACCAAGCACATCCACACAGCAGACAACTGCTTCATCTGGAGGGAAGCAAGAGGCAGCACTGTCCTCTCTTTTTGATTCCTCAAATCGCTGGCAGGAAGGCAGCTTTGGTGCTAGCTTTAGTGGTGGACCTGGGGGATTTGGAATGGGTGGGCTATTGGGACTAAGAGCTGGAATTCCAAAGATGCCCTCATTTAGGGTAAGTGAATGTACAGACCTCACAGTCAAGTGGAAAATATTGTTAAAAATCAATAAAGGTAAATCTCTACCAGAGGTCTTCTAGCTCCTCCTGCAGTAAAAAATAGGTTAAAAGTTAAAAAGTTAAAACCTTATCATCCTCTGTTGTTTCCAGCGGAAGTTTAGGCCACCGTCAGTTGAAGCTGAAGATGATGAGACACAGGACAGCAGGAAAGCAGACTATGATTCGGGTAGGGGCTTAGACACTCCTTGAAGAAGACCAAACAAGGAAGGCGGGAAAGAACTGATGATATCTATTTATATAAGTTGAAATTTACGTTGCAACAAGAACATTTAATCTTTGAAATGCAGTGTTTTTCTTAACCAAAAAGTACATTCTTTTGGAATGAATGCAATATAAATGTGAAACTTCCCAATTCAAAATTATTAAAATTGATGTCAAAGCAATATTTGAATGTCTGTAACATAATATGTAATATAATTTTCCAATAGATGCTGATTCTACCCAGTCAGACTCATCTAAAGCCAAAAGTAGGATCAAAAGGCCAGCAGATGATAGTGAGAGTGAAGGAGATAAATCTGATGCTGAGTCAAAAGCTGAATCGGAAGGTAATTTAAAGGGATAATAACTCTTCGTATGAGATCTATATTTCACAATAAAAACATTGTGAATAACTCATAGAAATATAATACATTCTGTTTAACCACAAAAACGGCAGTTATAGCTATTATTCTGATATCTGAGCTTGTCTTTAGACCACGTGACCTCCATTGATGGCTATACTCTGCTAAAATCTTATAAGAGATTTAAAAAAAAAACCAAACTTTTTAGAAAAAAAAACAGGGACTAACTTTGAATGTAAAAATGGATTCATTAACCATTGGTAAGTATGGGAAAATTGTTGTTTACTCCAGGAAAATTCATTTTTGGGCTGAAACGAAGAGTTATTATCACTTTAATGTTTTATAGAAGTTTCAACTTCAGTAGTGTTAATTTTTGATGATTTTATTGACATTTATCAAAAGATTAGTAACAGTAAATGCTGCATTTATTTCAACTTCACTTCTTGCTTTGTAGATGAAGAGGATGCTAGCAGCAGCAGTGATGAAGAAGAGGAGGAAGATGAGGAGGAGGAGGAAAGTGAGGAGAGTGAGGGCGCAGAGTCAGATGATGAGGCAGAGGAGGAGGAAGAAGATGAAGAATCAGCAGTTGTGGATGTAGAGGAAGAGGGAGACAAAGAGGAGGCTAAGTCTGTGGATGAAGGAAAAGAAAAGTAAGATAAATTAAAGTACTGAAAACAAACTGATTTGCCAACCATTCATGTTTACTGAAAGTGGAAACTCAAAGTATTACAATATAATGCCTTATCCACATTGTAATCCATACATGTGACCTTGGATTATTTGTACTTTTCATCCATTTGAATGTAGAAGTAAATTATCTTAGGGTCCTGGACTTGCATCAAATAAGTTTTAAAGCTGTACCTGCTTTCTTTGATAATTTCAGACAAGATAAAGAAGATATAGAAGAAGAGAAAGACTTGGTAGGAAAAGAAGAGTAAGTAAAAAGATGGATCATCAGATTGAAAAAATAAAGGTTTCAAGTATCCAACTGTGAGGTTGAAGGTAAATTATAACAAAAGTTTCACCTGTCTTGCTCATCTAGGTATTAAGTCAAAGGTATAACATATTTGACTAATTTATTCAAATGAAGTGTAATATGACTGGATGCTTTTGTAGGGAATTCAAAGCAAATGAAAAAGAGGAAGATGGAGAAGAAAGCACAGAAATAAAACTGCCATCACACACTAAGACAGTAGACCAAAAATCCCAAGAAAAAAGTTCTGAAGATAAAGCAGAGGATGTCAGTAAGGATGAAGAGGGGAAGAAAGAGAAAGAGGCTGGGGAAGAGGAGGACCACATGGGTGCCTTTGACATTTTAGTTGAGATGGCAGTCAAAGAAAGGGAGTCTCAGAAACAAAAGGAACATGAGACACAGCAGCAGATTATCTCAGAACATGATTATTTTGCAAAACCTACAGAGTCTGAGGTACCAGAGGAATCTAAGCCCTCCTCCTCCTCTGAAGAGAGTGATGGGGAACCAACTATCCCGTTGAGTATGTTTATAGAGCACAACTACTGTCTCCATCCAAAGACTAAACCAAAAGTTAAAAAAGTAAGAAATAAAGATAAAACGAAAGAAAATGAACAGCTGACAGTGACAGAAAATAAGTCTGTTATAGGCGAAATGTTGAAGGAGTCTGCGCCAGAAAAGAAAGGAGCTCAGAAACTTAGGGATATAACAGATATAGTGAAATCTCGCAGGAATCGAGAACTTGCCAATCTTTTGCCTCCGCCAAGTCCCCCAAAACCAAAACCAAAGTTCAAGCCACGAGCCCAGATGGATGAAAGAATGCTTATGTATGACATATTCAGGAAAGGTATTGATGCAGAAGATGTTAATTATTTAAAAAGGAGTTATGAAGAAATGCTTGGGATTGACAACCCACAGATTGCCTTCTGGTTGAACTACACTCATTGGGTTGAACACCCTTTGACCAACATCCCAGACCCTGTGGTGCCTAAGAAGAAGAGGAAAACAGATGATGACATGCCAAAGATACACGAGACAGGTACAGAACATGTATATAAACATATATTTAAACAGAATTTTTGTTGTGTGTCAAACAATTGATTGCTCTGAAAGTTCATATCATCCTTTGAAAAAAAAACAACATTTAACGCAAAAATGCAACAAGTTTGTATGTTTTTATATAGATGTGTGGAGGAGGGTGCATGGTTTCAGCTACTTTTTATGTTCACCAGTTTGCTTCATGATATCTGCCACCCTGCAGTTCTTGCACTTTTGGAAAGGTGCATTTAGTGTTTGAGAGTGTGCGCTTCATTATCTGTACTAAACTATGGTAATGACAGTTTTACCAGTGTTATCATTTCACTTCAGGCTCTGCAAGAACAGAAGGTTACTATAAGATGACAATGAAAGAAAAGAAAGCATTCCTACGTGCTGCTCGTGGTGCTTCCAGTCAACCAGCTGCTCCTGTAAGTTCTTTTATTTTATATAAAGGGAGGCATGGCTATATCTACATTGACCTTTGTATATTGCTGGCAAGAGTTTTTAATCTTTGTTTGAGCAAGCTATTGACAATATCAGACACTGTTGATAATTAATAAGCTCCTTCAGTGTGTACTAATTAGATTTTTTAAATTTGAAATGCTACAATTGGCAGTATTGAGAAATTGTATTTATGTCTCCTCATTGACCCAAGCGCAAGTATAAATAAAGGACAAACACAAACATGGTGTTCGAAATTTGGCCGGTAGCAGACGTTTTTATTGAAAGGTCCCTCTTGTAAAAAAATGGTGTTAGTTATTCTATAGCATTAGATAATGTTGAATTGATTAAAATTACATAATTTTATATCATGAGAAATTGTATTTATGGTATACTACAGGATGGTGGGTCTTTGACCCTTGATAAAGTGAAGAAGCAAGTTCAGCTGTCTAGGGAGGCCAGGTCAGAGAACAGGAGACTACTAACCACAATGGGAGATCTGGAGATAGGGGATTTACTGAAATTTAACCAATTGAAGGTAAACCTCTTGTCAGTCAGTGTTAAAAGATATACCACCTTAAAATCTGTAAATTTCTTGTTTGTGTTTCTTCGATTGATATTGAACTTTTATTGAATAGTTATATTAGTTTTGTTCATTTTCTGTACACTACTGCACCTTTGTCAATCATTTAGGATAAATATAAAAATATTTAATATTATATTGAATTAAAAAAACATGTAATTTTTAATTATAATCTAAACAACCATTATTGCAATAGAATCAAAGTATTCCCCCTTTATTGCAGTTCCGTATCAAGAACTTGAGATTTTCCAAGAGCACAATTCATGACTGGGGTCTGTTTGCCCTGGAGCCTATTGCAGCTGATGAGATGGTCATAGAATATGTGGGTCATGCCATCCGGCAATCAGTTGCTGATTTACGAGAGAAGAAATATGAAGAAATGGGTATAGGAAGCTCATACCTATTTCGAGTTGATCATGAGACCATTATAGATGCAACCAAAACTGGCAATCTGGCCAGATTTATTAATCACAGTTGTAATGTAAGTACAGCTGCTTATTATGTATTTTTCTTGAAATAAACTTGTGTTGATTACAAAATCTAATTTTGTCAATTAAATTGCTAATAGGTTAACACTTGGACCATTGTTTACCAGTTTACTTTTACTTAATATCTGTCGGTTCTCTTTCCCAACTTAAAATCCAAACCATAAAAACTGCAAACTGATTTACTGAGGAATATGTTTTCATTTCAGCCCAATTGCTATGCTAAAATTATCACAGTGGATACAAGCAAGAAGATTGTTATCTATTCCAAGAGAGACATTGACATGAATGAAGAGATCACCTATGATTACAAGTTTCCACTGGAAGACCAGAAGATCCCATGTTTCTGTGGTGCACCAAACTGCAGGGGCAGCTTAAACTAGAGCTCCATAATAAAGGAGATATTATCATAATGATCACTCCAGGGACTATCTTAAAGTGATAGTGATTGTAAAAATACAGATAGAGGCAGCTCATCGGTCTTCTCATAAATATCATTATGTGTACTGCTATTTGAAATCACAAAATCAATGTAGTATTAGTATGAGAATTATGCAAGTCAGTTTATAAAAATATAGTGTTAATTTCAGTGTGTTGCTATTTCTGCATTTGTTAAGGAAAGTGAATAACTTCCAACAACATGAAGAAGTAAAATGGTGAACATTGTTAAGATTTGCTCTGTGCCCAAGCTCTGAATATCCTGTTCAAAATGTATCTTCAATCTTATGTGTGCCCAGATAGTCATTTTATGTTTTATACTTGTGTATATGATTCAATTATACAGAATTATTATCTTCTAAAATAAGATTGAAAAACAAATTTGAAAGACAAGTTTGTTGGTCTGGCATTTAAGTTACTTTTTTTATTGTACAGACCATTTAGTTGTAAATTACATTATTTCAGAAATGGTACTATATTTACATTGTTTGGTTATGAATTATGGCCATTATTGAGAAGGTTGCACTGCAGCCCACATGTTGCAGTTTGAATTCAAAATTGCTGCCACATTAAAAAAGCTAGGATCAAACACTGTGACAGGCAGTTTATAACAGGCTATAACTAGGAAACACCAAAATGGATCCTTCTTGGCAGCATGGTTGGTTAACCATGAGTAATATCAAGGGATTACCTTTTTAAACTGTAGATATGTGTATACAGAGTGAAAACACTAGTGTAGCAATTTAGCAGAAATGGTGTAGGCATTTCTTATATATAAATGAATGTAAAGCTGTGTAAAGTTGCTCAAAATGTCATTAAATTTTAACAAGCCCATGTCATAGTTTATCTAACTGTAGGGAGCACTGGATCATGGCTTCACAAACTTGCTATTTGTTTGTACAATGTTGGGCTGAAACACAGTGGAAATGGAGATACTTTAATGAATGAATTTTTCTCACTAGGAGTTACACCAATTTTTTTTTTTTTTTTTTGGCAATTGCATTTTATCCCCCTTTCTGTATGATATAGTCATGTATAGTATTTTTACAAACATTAAACAGGTAATACAGTAATGTTTTTGAAATTGTACAGTGTATCAATTCTCAATAAACTGTTATTGATAATGAAGTTTGCTTGTTTGATGTGGTTTTAACACAAATAGCACCTTTACTAGTCTATATGTAGTGTTTATTTTCGACCATGCTGTTTTATTTATAGAAAGGTCTTGCACATTAAATTCTTTAGTTTTTGAAATACTCCACACAAAGGATTATTACAATATAATAAATAATAACGATGAAAGCTGACAGTCTTGTCTATTGAATACTTTCTCTTCCTCAGAAAGAAGTTATTACAAAACGGTGAAATGGAGTGTAAAAATTTAGTCAACATGGCAATTCCAAATGAGAGCACTTCCGTGGGACGATAGAAATTGGTCATTCTTGATTGATGTGAAGAAGAGCAAGCACTTTCAATCCTGTATATCAATATTGTCAAGTTGGCATGAAAAAATGTGAACTAGTAACTGTTCAGGGATTTCATTTATTCCTACATCACATTAAAATAAAATGCTTTCTTTTTCTATACAAATGTATGATCCCGTTTTATAAAAACGTGGATTTTAAACATACTTTGAAGGTCTTTTGATACTCACACCATTTTTGAAGGTTACTTTACAAGAGAATGTCATAATTCAAGTCATCATGTCATTTAAGTTCCACTTCCCAGTTGAAAATGCATTTGAATTTCTGATTTTCGATTGACCTAATTTATAATATGGCCTTTTTAACGGCTGTTACAGTAACCTCAAACCATTATATTTCACAATGCAATGTCTTAATTAAAAATTATTACAAAAATTTTTATACAACAGAGTAAATCTAAATAACTGATAAGATACGTCAATGTTTTCCAGTATGAATGAATGTATATAATAAAAGTGATTACCTGATATATGTTTTGAACACTTCTCCCTTTATAAGCAAGGTAAATAAAATGTGCAAATTTACAAGTTTCACATATCCATTAAATATAAAGTAATAAAATAAAATTTATGCTTATGGTGAACATACTTCATGCTTGTTTTAAAACTCCTCCCTATACTCGTTTCCAGGAAAGTTCCACTTATATCATGTTTAAAAATAAGGTAGATGGGTACATTAATATTGCAATAAAAGAAAAAAAAATCCTATGATACATATTCTTATCTAGATAAAGGACCATAAAATATATACTATTCAAGCAAAAATGTCCTTTTATGTCGTTTTCTTCACCAAGTTCTTCTGCTTTTAAACTGCTCCTGTTAATTGCCAATTAAACTGCTTTGTAAATTTATGTAAAATAGTGATCAGTGTGCAGAGTACCTCTGTAACTAAATTGGATATCATGAAAATTGGCACAGTTGACAACAACATGTAACCAGTGTTTGCTTTAAAATGTTCTGTTAATGAGAGCAAAGTCCCTAATTTGCATGCTCAGACATGCTGAAACTGTCGGTCAGATCGGTCATGACCAGGAAAATTTGTCTGGACCGGTAAAACATGGGACTTGGTCGGTCCAAAGGACCGACAAAAGTTTTAAGAGCCGCAATTTTGAATTTACAGTCATCATTCGACATACTTCACTAATAAAATTATATAAAACCCAAAACATTTTTTCCCTTCCATTTCAAACCTATCACATTCACAAACAAAGTAAGCTACCCTAATTGTACTGGTAGTACGTGTCTCAAACGAATAGAGTGATTTTCAGTCTGACAAAAATCCATTCAGTCTGGCAAATTTTTCATTACTGCTGGTCCAAATGTCCGGCCATTCTGAAAAGTTTTCAGCATGTCTGCATGCTCCATCAAACTAACTCATTATTTTGCTCTTTACTGTTAAAATCAGAAATAAGCCTTTCAAAACCAATCCTTAGCAACAGATTGTAGTACTCATAATTTAATTGTGATTCATTAGATGTTAAAACTGTTGATAGCAGCTAAGGTGAGGGAGATCTGCTTGAATTAGAAAACAATTTTTACCACAAGAACTCTGCTGTGACAGCATCAGCCCCAATTAGCAAATTCAACCTGATGTATTTTTGATCTCATAACATGACAAAGTTTATTTCTGCATTATCTAAAGTGGATGAGCAAATAGATCCTAACATTTATCTACTTTAACATGACCAATTTTTCTCTTTGTGTCAAGATGGAAATATTTGAATGAAACAATAAATATATAAAAATACAGCTACCAAGCTTTTTTAGGTTCACCAGCATTCCAATAACCAACACAATTTGATTAGGTGTAAAGCATCATGAATACACAATGCACAAACATCCAAGTTATCAACAAATGAAATGTTCAGTGTCACAATGCATGTTACTCAATACAATTTAATTGTGTCACACCTTTGAGTTAACTAGGACAATTGAAATTTGTGCAATATCATGATTTATGAAATATGTTTGATATAATATGGTAATAAAGTCAGAATCTATATAAATTACATGCTTGGACTTTTTATTTGACTAGAGAGGTAGGCTTCATAATAAAAACATTCTATTTATTTTACAAGGTTCACATTAAGGGAGACAAATTAAAAGAAATTGAGTGATACATCATTTTAAACTCTGGGGTCAGATTTTTCTTCTTACAAAGATAATTTGGTGTCCAAAACCAGAAACATGGTAATCTAGCTAATTCTGTGAACATAGATGCGTTTATAATTCATCTCATATACATACACCATAAAATAAAAATCAGAGTGTGTGATGTTCACAAGTTCAAATCCTAATTGTACCAATTTCTGTTCCACATCTCTGTGTTAACTCCAAACATCAGCAGAATAGCGCCCCTTTGTGTGGAGTTTCTTCACATAATCCTCGGCCTGTGAACGAGGTATCTTCCCCAACTCCTCCACTATATCAGTCATGCAACTATGGACATCTTTGGCCATGTTTCTAGCATCACTGAAAGGTAGAAACAGAACTACTTCAGTGACTTTCTTATTTTTCACTCCTTTTCAGACTTAACATGCATCTAAAAATGCCTATGAACAATTAATGTACATGAGATATTACAGAGCTGTTGGAATAATTTACTTTTTTTCTGCCAAAACCTTATAATCAGAATAAAAGCATCATATTTTGAATAAATATCCACAAATTGTACACTGGTGTATGTTACACAATGAAGGCAAATCAAAATACAAAAACTAATATTTAGAGTAAAATAGTGTAATAATCTATCAAAAGACAACCTACCCACAAACATAAATGTGTCCTCCAGCCTCCAAAAGTTCCCATATTTCTTCCTTCTGTTGTTTTATCAAGTGTTGGACGTAAATCTTGTGCTGCTGTTCTCTGGAGAAAGCTACATGAAGATGACTCAATGAACCATCCATGCAGTAGCTCTGCAGTTCCTCCTCGTACAAGTAATCCTCAGCCTTTTTACGACAGCCAAAGAAAAGCACCGTAGGTCCAATTTCTTTGCCTAAAATAGAATGATAAAATGAAGTAAATGTAATAAAAGAACTGGGGTAATGAAATAAGGATTTTGAATAGGGATGAAGTCAGTACAGCATAAGTAAAAAGCTAGCGTTTGGTGAAATATGCTAAGTCCCAATAAGTTTGCCTATAGATTATTTTGAACTTATTTTAATATCACATATTGAACCCTTTTTGTCTTCCATCTGTATTAGAAATTATATCTTTAAACTAAAATTTGTTACCAATTTGTGCCAGATCATTGCTAATCTTTACAACTTTAACTGAAACAAAGATTTCTACTGATGCAAGATCTGAGAAGTACTGTGCCAAAGATAAATTATCATGACAGTAATGATATACTTGCCATGTACTCAACACTTTGGCTCACTTTGTCATAGGCACAGAGCAAAGAGAGAGAAAATGAAGTGAGGTGCAATTCTCATGTTTATTGAGCAGCAACATGACCGATTTCAACAAAAATTGGCAAGCAAACAAACGTAGCTTTATACATTACCTTCCTTCTTCAAAAAGTGCCTCTCCTGGATAAAGCCTCTGAATGGAGCCAGACCTGTTCCTGGGCCTATCATGATGACAGGGGTGGAGGCCTTGAAAGGCAGGCGGAATTGAGACTTGCGGACAAATATGGGAACTGTGGGTTTAATGCCATTGGTTGGGTGTTTTAATGCCAGCCAGTTGGTGGCCACCCCCTTGACTGGCCTCCCAGTTCTTGTCTGGTAGTCAACCAAAACTGCTGTGATGTGAATACTGGATGGGTAAAGCTGAAACATTTTTCATAGTCTATCTATACCTATACATTAAACTACATATTTTCTAATCATTTAAAACATTCCACACAAGTTCATTTTCTAGAATGTCTTTGTTTAAACAGCCTGGCAGAATTCAATTCCCAACCCTGCAATCAAACATTTTTCACCTATGGTATATAATAGCTTTATGGTGCCAGTCAATGACAAACCTATATTATGATACTTATCACCAACCTTATAATGTGAAAATTTCAACATGTACACAGTCACTTCAGAGGACAAAAGTTTCACATGTGATGATAAAGAGTAATTTACCTTTGGAGATGATGATATGGAATAGTATCTGGCTTGTAACCTTGGTAATAGTTCACACAGGTAATCTATGGGTGGTTTCAGTGATGGGAGGTCTGTTAAAACTGTGAGAATGTCCCTGTGATCCTTAGCAACCCATTCAATATATAAGTTCTGAAAATGTTTTTAAAAGATTCAGTATATTCAATAGCAGTTGTGCGCTATCTGGTGGGGAAACACATTTTCTGTAGCAAAACAACTGTTCAATAACTCTCTCCTCAAAAATAAATAAATTAATTAATTAATGAAAATAAATAGTATAACTATATGTAATATAAAACTAAATGCTTCATTACTTTTATGTGAATTACTCATATTAGGCATTTCATTCCTTGAATTCTGCATCCTTAAAAAATATATGCCTGTTCATTTAATTTAAAAACAAGGGTTTCTGTATTTTCTTTACATATAATTACCTTGCCCTCTTCACTTGCACACGCCAATTTCTGTAGGAATTCTTTGTCCTTGGGGTCCTCAGCATAATCTGACAACTCCTTGAGAATGTGTGTTCTTGGAGGACTAACAATGTCCAGGTAATGAAGTAGAGCTGTTCTGTAAGTTGTTGGGCAGGGGAACGGATGCTTCTTACTTGCTTCCTCTGTAGAAATGTTTCAAAAAAGAAGTTTTTGTCAAGGATAGGTAAATGCAAATCAAAATAAATAAATGAAGTATTCAGAAACACCATTCTCCCACCTCAAGTTATGATTATCTTTATCATGTAACATGCATTCTCAAGTACAATCTATCTTGTAGCGGAGACCCAGCAATATTTTTCAGATCATTATATTTTGCATACAATTTCAACTGTTTCAACCTTATTGTAGATATTAAAACAGATTCCATATAAGTAATTGGATCCTGCATACAAATTCTTACCATCCACATTGTTTAGGGACATGACTTGGTCCAGGTCCACCCCCAGTCTTGTGCCCAGGGCCTCAACCAGCTGAGGGTCATTGGTGGGAAATACTGCTACATGGTCACCAGCTTCATATCTTGAAATATTGATCGCAACATTTAAGACTACCGTAACAGCAGTTACAATGAAGACTCATTACAGAGTGTTACAAGGAGTAATTATAATTTCTGCAGCAATAAAAATCATATCATCCTTACTGTAGTTAAATAAGTGCTTTTACACAGTGCTAGCACTGCCTTCTTGAAAATGAAAAAAAGGACTAACCAGAAAAACAAACAAGGTTGACATATGAAATGCCTCCAACTTATTTACAATGTAGTCTTATGTGTACAAGGTTTGGGAAACAATGAAATTCTTACCTAATTCTTGAGCCTGTGATATCAAGTTCTATGTGCATACATGATCTGTCTCCTCCCTTGTGTAGCTCCCTGTTTACTATCACTGGGGCTAAGAATGGATTCTTAGAGTCGTAGGGCCTATAATCAAACAGAAAAAAATGGAGTCTAGATGAATTTGATTGCCCATTTGCAATCTGAACACAAAGAATCTATATGCTTAAGTATGCAACCTCATCATACTGAAAAAATACGCTCACTAAATTTTCAAATGTTTTATTTCAAATAAAAATATGTCTTACGGTTTTTGATTTCTGAAAGACCCAAGCCTAGCAGGTTCACCACTAAATATCTTCTCCTTGGGTGTGTCTTCATGTATCTCTACAGCAAATTGCCTCATGCTAATAGGAAAATAGATGAAATATGGAAAAAATTACATAATATTATAGGTTCCAATTAAATTAATGAAGTTAAATATCACAATTCAACATTAAAATGGTCTTGTAATCCTTTATAAAACAAAAGACAATTAACATGTAGAAAGTTCAACTTATTACATGAACAGATACCTACAGTTAAATATTTTCAACTTAATGTACCTCAGGTAAATTATTTTTAACTTACTGTATAAAATTAAAACAAATTAAATACAGCCATCTTACTTTACATCCTCTCCTGTTGCTTCCACACCAAAGTGTTCACAAACAGCAGGCCAAAATTTCTCCCTCCAGGTCACAAAATCTTCCTCAATGCTAAAATTCATAATACACAATCTATACATGCTGACTTCTGAACATTTCAACTCAACAACATACCTCTTATTCAGTTATTAGTAATTGTCAAATGAAAAATGTGCATGAGAGAAACAAGCTTTTTTCTTTGAACACTTGTTATATAGCAAAGCTTCTCAGATAAAACCAGGCTGAGAAAGAAATTTCCATTAAAAAAGAGGTATCAGATAACGGCTATCTAGTGTACATACTTGGCATCATCATCTCCCAAGCCCACTTCATATATTCTTGTTGCCCCAAGTTCTTCCAGTCTCTTGTCCACATATTTTCCCATGGCATTATAATGCTCATAGGTTTTATTGCCAAGACTGAATACCTATTTAATCCAGAAAGAAAACATGAATTTCTTTGTTAAGCATTATCATAACTGGATGAAAGAATAATATTCAAAAAACGTACTGGTAACTAAATTAACATGTTTGAAAGGAATATCAAAACACTTTGTAATATGTAGTTTTTTGTTTCATACAAAACACCGAGTTAGCACTGGAACAAGGGCTTTTACTGATATACTGGCAAGTGAAAATGGCTTAAATAACAGTGTTTGTAAAAGTACTTGTCAGAGTAGGGTTGGGTGAGCTAGCTGGAGAATGCTAAATCTTTCCCAAGTTTCAAGCTGTTTTAACAGAAAAATATAATACCCTTCTCTTTCAAATAGGGTATCAATTAAGGGTTTCTCTTGTATATTTCTCTAAATATCTTTACTTACAGCATATCTGACCCCAGACAAGTCAGCATCACCATTTTGTAGCCAATCATAAAACTCTTGTGCATTATCTGTGGGATCTCCCTCACCATATGTAGCCATACAAAATATTGCTAGGGAATTCTCAATTTCAGCCAACTGTGGAAGCTCTTCCTGTTAAGAAGAGAATCAAGCCAGTAATAAAAATTAAAATGCTATCAAAATAGGGACAGAAAAAAAGTATGTATTTCTATTTACCACAGTACTTTGAAATCACAAAATTATAAAAAGAAATCTTACCATGTCACATTCCTCAGGATCAGCTGTAATCCCTTTCATGCCATAGCGACTAGCATCCTTGGACAAGCGACCAGCAAACTCCTCTGCTGTGCCAGTCTGGGACCCATAAAACACAATCACATTCTTCCCCTAGAATAATAGACCACCACATATATTCCCAATTTAAATATTTTTAAATATTATTTAAAGATTTTTTTTTCATTTTTTCTTTTCTGGCTGAAATGTCATTTTCAAGTAATCTTAATGGCACAGTATGAACTATTTAGGAAACAATTTCTTTTTAGAGCTTGAAAAGGTCACCAAATAGAGTCAAACCTATGTGGCAAATGCTTAATGACTCCCTGGAAGTGTGAATGACAAATATGCCACTGCAAGCATTAGCAATGTACCTGGAATCAATATAATTATAAAACTGATAATCACCTCAATCAAAGGTGTTTGATGCTGATTAACAATTAATTCAAACTTATGAAAGGCTCATGTGTTTTGCATATACTTACTCCATGCTTCATCTTATTTACAAAATTTGTGTCATCAGCTCTGACAGTTGAAGGCCTGTAAAATATTGAAAAAAAATTAATTTTTGTGCCTGAATATATATATGCAAAAATCCTTATCTACCCTATCAAAGGTTTCTATTGACTTAATTACTAGTAAACAAACACTTCATAATCCAATTATAACCAAAAGGGGAATATAATCGATAAAGTAGATTTCAAATGCACAACTAAAAGGAAGATAACAAAAAAATATGGCAAAGTAAATATTCTAATGATTGTGCCATATAAATATAGACGAATAAATATAAAGACTGTACAGTGTTTGAAATATTAGAGTACAAGATGTCAGATCTTTATCTGGTTAAAATTAATTACCACATTGCTACGTGTAAACCAAATTGTACATAACTTCATTTACAGGACACAAGTTCTTGAATGATGTCATTATATTTTATACATCTGACAAGGCAACACCAGTATAGCTGATGTCATTCGACACACTATTAACTGATATAGCAATTAACACCTTCCTGCTGATGTCATTGGCATATCCTATTTATGCAGGTGTCCATGGAACTAGATAACACATGCTCTCCTTGTTTAAAAAAGATGAACTGGAATTTTTAACTTTTTTCATGCACCTGCATTTCCATTAAAGAGACATGCATTACATGAAATGAACACTATAACTTTGTGTGTGAAGGAATAAACATGATTTTATTAAACAAAATATCTTGTATAATAGAAATCCATGGGTGACAATATCAAGACACCAACAAATAACTTACAGCACTGTTAACTTCTTAATGGTTGGAGGCTCCTCTTTCTTGCCCCGGAGAAAGAACCAGTATACCAAGCCCATGGCAATGACTCCTAGAATAGCTATATCCAACATTCCCAGTAATGGCTCTGAGGCTTCCGTAACTGCTTCTGTACTTGCTTCTAGTGTTATAGTCACAAGCACCATGTTTGTTTTAGTGTACTGTTTGAATAAATAAAATAGGTGTCTGAAAAAAAGAAAAGCATTTAAATGAATATTAATTATGCTTAACCATTTCCTTCAAAAAAGTATATTATAATACTGGGGTAGCGCTAGCAATTTTTTTCGCTTAGCCAAATCACCACTATTTTGTCAATTCGTTATCAAAATGGTGATCATTTGACTAAAACAAGTCAAATCAAGCCCTTTTTCTTTAGCCAATTTAAGTAAGTTTTAGCATTTGGCTAAATTGGCGAGTGTTAGCGCTACCCCAGTAATATGATAACCACATTGACAGAGAAAACAGTTTTAAAAGTTGAAAATAAAAGTTACCTTTAATAGTAAGTTAAATAAAAGTTAACCAATATGAAACCTAAACTTTAAGTGTAACAAGATAACTGCACCAAAATGTTTAATTTGAAAAAAAAAAAAAAAAAACACAATATATCAGGTCTATAAGTACATTGATATCTAAATATGATATTACTTCATGATGACATGTCCCAGTAGACCTACCCAGAATTAAACTGACCCAGACTTTGTATGAATAACCATATGTATATTATCTTATCTCATGAGGTTGAGGTTGTATCTACATGTATGCGACATAGTGAATATTTAAAAAGCTGACTTCATACTTTATCCACGTCAATCAATTATTCCCTGTACATAAACATTTCATGTCAAAAACTCAGTTATCACTATCATAAAATTGAAGCATGCCTGAACTAAAACTATTGGTTCTTATACTGGGCAGACCCAGAGTTTGTGCCCATAAGAAAATTCTAAGCTTTTTTTTTCTGGTTAAGATACGACTGCTCAAATTCCATAACAGACACAATGAAACCAACTTAGTGATGTTTGTATGCAGTTTAAAAAGCATTAAATGAGGGCCATAGGCTGAGAAAAATGCCTTAGAGGAGGGGTAGGGTTAATATGATTAAGAAGTAACCAAAAGCTTTCAGACAATTCTTTTGTGAAAGAATTTAGAACATTTAATTTGTACTACAAGCAAATCTCCCCGGAATAGATCTATCTATCTTGACCAACTGGTACTTGGTCAGGATCATGTATGCCCACATTTTTTGTGCCAAGGTCGGAGTCCATGTAAAAAGGTTATACATTACACATCTATTATTTTGAGACGGTTATCGGGAGACAACCTTACATTTATAAATACATGAAGTAGATCAAATATTTTGTCATGCAACCATCACCGAATCTTACTTACAAAAGCTTGTTTCACGGAGGAAAGTGACCATGGAAAAGGGGTCAGTTTATTCGACCTAGTTTTTGGCACTGCGCTGAATCACGAAAATCCAAACGTGATCAGTTTGAGTACGCACGTACCTTTAGTGCTTTACATAAAGCCAGCCACAATGTATGGCCTGCTATTTAACCCACCTGTTTCACCGCTCTCAATCAACGCTTCTGACACGTTTCCCGGTTTTACTACCCATACGTCTAACCGGTGTCACCTAAATTGACCGCACTGATAAAATTATGACTGACGTTTTATAAGAGGGTCTTACACCAGATTAACAGTTCTCGTGAATTTACGTTTGGTGACCTTTGACCTTTCAAAATAAATTTCTTGTAAATTCTCTCAGATTAAATTCAACATTTGTGTTGGAATTAATGAATATTTCTTAGGTGTATTAGGAAATAGAGGGTATCTAAGTTGATCGATACCTTAATATGATTAATTTTCAAGATATAGGTACATCAAGTCTCGCTTCTTCCGAGATTGCCGCCAGGCGACACTGTTGATCAAGAGTGCAAGATGGCTGCTGTCAAAGCGTTGAATCCCAAAGCCGAAGTTGCCAGGGCTGCACAAGCTTTAGCGCTTAATATAGGCGCAGCTCGTGGTCTCCAGGATGTTCTTAAAAGTAATCTTGGTCCAAAGGGAACGATGAAAATGTAAGTCGAGACACTTTTATGTTAGGTATTGTCTGTAGGAAAAATGGGTATGAGAAGCACATGTTCGTTCCTTTTTCTATTCCGCGTACAAATTCTAGCAACTTCTGTATTGGATCAGTATCTAAAAGCTCTGTTTTTTTTCGTGCCATTTTCATGTGTTTCGTTTTTAATCATTATGTCTATCGAAATTAAAACTGATATATTTATCAGTTCATGGAATGTTTAGATGTCGAGCAGGGTGCAAATACACTTCGAGAATAGTTGATTTTTTTTGGTTTTTCGTTCTCAGTGCTAGCTTTAACAGTGTGATAATTATGCATATACTTTTATATATGTATGGTTATCTGATTTTGGTATTTTTATTGTCAGGTTGGTGTCTGGTTCTGGAGACATAAAAATGACCAAAGATGGAAATGTGCTGCTTCATGAAATGGTATGTTAAATAATGCCAAGTCAATTTATCAAATAGTTACTGTTTTTGATATGAGTCATCTTTGCAGCATCATTTTCATTATGAAACAAATGTAATGCTGGCAATTTTTTATGATAATATTAAATAATTTAAGTGACCATTTTCAAAAATTTGCATGATATATTTATGTCTCGACTCTCATATATGTTATTTATCAGCAAATCCAGCATCCCACAGCATCTCTGATTGCACGTGTAGCCACAGCTCAAGATGACATCACTGGTGATGGCACTACATCAAATGTCCTCATTATTGGAGAACTACTAAAACAAGCTGATGTGTACATATCAGAGGTATGTTATCATAAATTATAGCTCCAGGTGTTTGGTTGTGTTATTTATCTAGGTCTCTGCTCTAGCAGCTTTTAACTTGCCAATATCAGAGTATTGTCAGTTGCAGTTTTGTCAGTTGGCTTTTCAGTATTGATTGAGAACTGGTGTGAGCTTGGCTGAATTAAAAAAAAATAATAATAATTCACTTCCATTGTAATTTTTTACTATTTAGAATTTGTATTAGATGATGTGATTTACATGTAGCATGTCAGAAAAATGTTGAAAAGAACTTGACAAATTGCTGTGCTATGTTTCAGGGTCTTCACCCAAGACTAGTGACAGAAGGGTTTGAGCTAGCCAAGACCAAAGCATTAGAGGTAAAGGTTTTTTCAGTTATTACTCATTTACCTCTTTTGACAGCCCGCTTCTAGTGGAGATGGTTGGACCTTATAAATTGCATCTCAGTAGGTGATTTATGACTAGTTTTCCATTATTTCTATGAAATATTGGTACTTGGAATAGTTCTCATATGTAAGCACAGATTTTTACAGGGAGTTTTGGTGAATGTGAATGCATTTTTTTAACTTGCAAAATTTAGGTAAACTGTAACATAAAGCTTGTTTTTGTCCATTTGTTTTAGGTATTGGAGTCTATAAAAGTAGCTAAGACCATGGACAGAGATATGTTGATAAATGTTGCTAGAACATCCCTGAGGACCAAAGTGCATCCTGAGCTGGCTGATGTTTTAACAGAGGTAAATTTTGTTTCAAACTATTTAGCCTTTACAATATTTCTCAGTAACATTACTGTTTTCAGCTGCATTCATTAAGTCACGTGTGGATGTGCATTATTTTTATATATTGATACAAAAAAGTTGAAAATGCAACATAATTGAATTGGTTTTGATGTTGCAATGTTCACTTTTCAGCATGTTGTAGATGCAGTTTTAGCTATACAAAAGCCTGAAGAACCAATTGATTTGCACATGGTAGAAATCATGGAAATGATGCACAAAACTGATATGGACACCACGTAAGTACTTATTATATCTGAAAGGTGGTATAGAATATATTCCAAAAAGTGTTTCAGTAATTAAAAAAAAATGATATATTGTACACTGTACATGCTATTATTACTTTACAAAATCTCTTTCTGTTAAGTTACAGCATGATTTAGATTTTCAAAGTTCACTCTCAGTCTCTGAAAGCTCTTGTTCACTTTTTTAATGATAACAAAAAGACTCTATGAAATATTAATGAACTTGTTTGTTACTTTTGTCAACTTTTTTTTCAGACTTGTAAGAGGAATTGTAATGGATCATGGTGCCCGTCATCCTGACATGAAGAAGAGAATAGAAAATGCCTACATCCTCACCTGTAATGTGTCATTAGAATATGAGAAAAGGTAAAGTGTAAACAGTTTTTTTTTTTCATACTCATTGTTGCATTACAGATCGTGTGTTGGAGGATATGAATTTGTGTTGGAAGATATTGGAAAAAAGTCTGGAAGAACAGGAAAATATTAGTTAATATTTTGAGACAGGGCTTAGCCTGAGATGAATGCCATTTTTTTCATCCTTAACATTATTTTTAAACTGCTTATTAATAGATTTTTTACAAAAAATTTTCATTGTAATAATTACAGTGAAGTAAATTCTGGGTTCTTCTACAAGAGTGCTGCAGAGAGGGAAAAGCTTGTGCAGGCAGAGAGAGAATTTACTGATATTAAGGTTGCCAAGATTATTGAGTTCAAGAAGAAAATGTGTGATGGCACAGACAAAAATTTTATAATCATAAACCAAAAGGTATGTAATAATATAAATTTAATAAACATTTTCCTGAAAATTTCATTGTCATCAGCAAGAACATATTTATTTTTAGATTAAAACCTCAAATCAAATTATGGTTGTTTACAATCAAGCTTTTGGTGTGGATGTTTATTTTTTAATACCTTGTTCTATTTAAATGTATTAAAGGGTAAATAATATAGGATTGTGTATTTTTAATTGACCCTTTGTTTTGTTTACAATAATTTTAGGGTATTGATCCTATGTCTTTGGACATGCTGGCCAAGGAAGGAATTGTTGCCTTGAGAAGAGCCAAGAGGAGAAACATGGAACGGTTGACCTTAGCCTGTGGTGGCATGGCCATGAACTCCCTAGAGGATTTGACCCCAGATTGCTTGGGATATGCTGGCCTTGCATATGAGCACACACTAGTGAGCTTTTTTTTTCTTTTTCAGATCAGTATTGTTTTCTCAGAAAATGATTTTATGAGGTTTGGAACATTTTGATTTGACAAATGGAAGTAATTTTATAATTTACTATAACGCTGTATTACAAACTGATTGCTTCTGTGAATGTAAGATCAATATTGCAATGTCTGAAATAATTCTTTCACATTAAATATTTCTTTTTTGTCTGATCAGGGTGAAGAGAAGTTCTTTTTCATTGAGGAATGCAAGAACCCCCGCTCAGTGACTGTTGTGATCAAGGGACCAAACCGTCACACTGTGGCTCAGATCAAGGATGCCATTCATGATGGCTTGAGAGCTGTGAAGAATGCTGTGGAAGATGGTAAGTTTTAGACATTTACTTTTTTTTTTTTCAGATTTCTACCAGTACAATTTAGCCATAATCACTTTTTTATTGTATGTCGAGCATTATGCTACAGGTTAAATAAAATGAGAAGCAAGATTGTGCTGTCGGGGGGAGCACAGCAAAAAATTTCAGTATTAATGAATTTGGTTGTGTTCGACATTTATCTTTAGAAAATTTTCAGTAGGTTAAACTATGAGATAAAAATTATAGGGAGGAGCACTAAACTCGAATGTAATGATAAAGTAAATATTTTTCTTTTCAATTTCAGGTTCAGTTGTCCCTGGAGCTGGTGCCTTTGAGATTGCAGCACATGCAGAGCTGTTCAAATACAAGGAGACAGTCAAAGGGCGTGCCAGGCTGGGTATCGCTGCATATGCCGAAGCCTTATTGGTAATACCCAAAACTCTAGCCAGAAATTCTGGTCTGGATGCACAGGAGACTATTGTGAAGCTACAGGAGGAGTATGCATCAGCTGGACAGCCTGTGGGCATTGATTTAGCCACAGGTAATACATATATATAGTTGGACCTGTATTTTTAGGGTAACTGGCTGGGTGGGTGGGTTGAAGGGTGAGGGCTGGGGTTACAACAAGATATATGGCCTAGTATAAATGTGGGGCAGTCATAAGACATAAATACCAGAGAGAATTTAGCTTTGCATTAGCTTAACACAAATTAAAACTTTTTTAAGTGTCTGTGTTTATGACAAACCAAATATGAATATATATATTTGAAGTAATGTCATTCTAGATGAACAGTGAATCTTGCTGTGTTTTTACAACAGTTTCTAATTTCAGGTGAATGCCTATTACCTATGGATGCAGGTATTGTAGACAACTACAGAGTGAAGAGGCAACTGTTACACTCCTGGTATGTATACACTTGTGTTAATTTGTGCACATTTTTTTTTGTAAGCAAGACAGATTTTCTTTACTGTGTACAAGGGAATGTTTTTCTTTCACCATGTATATTGCAAATTTTGATGGAAATTGCTGCAGAATAAAAATTCGAATTAAGAATTTTTTTTTCATTCCAGCACTGTGATAGCCTCTAATTTATTGCTGGTGGATGAAATCATGAGAGCTGGAATGACATCTCTCAAAGGCTGATGAAACCCAATGTTTCTGGGACTGTTGTATTAGATAGAGAGTGCAGTGTTTTGTGACTCAGATGTACAGAAAACAACAGGAACTGTATGAAAATAGTTTTACATAATCGAAACATCATGCCAATAACAAATTAAGGGGACTGCCAGGGAAAAGTTGAAAGATGTGACACCTATTGTCATCATTATGACAGTTTGAAGTTAAATGATTTAGTCCGAAACTACCATTATCCACCCCTAGAATAAATGATTTTCTTCAAGATGTGTGCAACAAATTGGAACGGCTAAATACTTTAGTGAGAATGCAGAGAATAGTTGATGGATACCAGCATACAGCACAGATTGTAGTGACTGAGAACAAGGTTTAAAATACCTTTTTTGTGAGTTGTGCCTCAAGGATAGATGTTAATGGTCTTCCATCAAATTGAAGACTTTTCTGTGAAGGAAAGGTCAGGTATCTACCAGTTCCATATTAAAATGTTGCCTCTCTGATGTCCATTTTTCGTTTCTACACCATGTATTTCTACCATCAATGTAATAAAATACTTTGTTTTACTCTCTTAGTATTTTTATGTTTCTGTGGACCCACTTGGAAGTTTTTTGATAAATCACAAGTATGGAATAACATGCATGGCTTTTGATTTTAAGCAAAGTACATTTGTACCTGTAAGAAAAAGATCTAGAAAGGTCCATCGTATTTTTAAATTGACTGGATTTCGAGGGGGAATGAGTAATTTTTGGGTAAGTGCCAGGCAACCATCTTATGCTGCCACGGTTTATCACACCAGAAAACAAACTTAACAGTTGTGCTTTTTATTACTTTCCACTGTAAACATGATACAAACAGAAGTCCAGTTTCCATACATATTGTTGAGGCTATATAATAATGAAACTGGCTCTGTAAACAACAGCATAGATCAACAGAATGTACAACACCATTTGTGTTGAAAGTAACTTAATCTATTGATGCTCCTCAAAATCTACAAGTCTTGACTTTCAACCCTCAGAGCACATTTTCTGAAACTGCCACAGCCTCTGAAGTTCTCACAAATATTTTATTTCTATTTCTGAGTTTCTGTTTATAATTCAAGACATAATTCTGACCCACTTGAGAAACAACTACTAAAGAAAATCGTTCTTTTTCAAATAAAGAAAAGGGAATAAACAAAATAATTACAGCACAACTTGACTGATTACTTTCATATAAAAATGCCCAGCTATCATACAGCAAACTAAATAACACCAGAAAAGATAGTTAAAGCAATACACATCTAACTATACAATAACATAAAAACAACATTTTTACACAATATAAAACAACGTAGATTCTAAAAAAATCAAAAATAAAAAAAATATATATATAAATAAATAAATAAAATAAAAAACTGGCAAGGAGATATATCAAATTTCCTATCCTATGCAACTTCAAATAGCATTAAAATTTACAAGATCTACAGGGATTTTGCCGATCAATCAATATAACTTTTAAATAAAAAATTATAAGGGGCCCATCTCAGAGATTTTATCTTCATGCATTCTGTAAACTTGTCTGCATAAACTGACATGATTTTCATTTTTAAACTAAACATCTACATCTGCCTATAAAGTCCTTTATAAAGTGTAACAACATATGTACAAAGGCTTTACAAAAAATACTTATCATTACGCAAATCTGATTGTATTACAGTTATCAGTATGTGAATAACGTTCCTTCACACTAGTACATAATTACCATACCTGCATTTTCTATTTCATCTTCTACTGCAAATCACTACTTTCTATTCCAATTTGTAATTCTTCTCATCAGCATGCCAGGGTAAAACAGTCCCATGAAAAGTACAGGTTCTCATTTACTATCCAAGAGGATGTATTCCCTACCCTTTCGACTTGGTATAAAATGATGCCCATCTAAATATTATAGCAACACTTTCCCATGGTTCCCAATTTTCTTAAAACACCCTTCCATTATTAGGAATTTAAATGACAGAATAGCATTCATTTTTTTCAGTCTTCATCAGACATAGTCTCATACTGTGATGACATGGCTGGAACAGATCCTGTGGTGCTGTCCCCAACCCCATTATTACTACCATTACTCCCAATAGTAGGCGAGTTGCCACGAGTACTAACACTGCTGCTGGGGAACTGAGAATTCCCTGGGGATCCTCCTGCAGTACGCAGAGGCTGTGAGGAGAAAGGATAACAACTGGCGCCAAATGGCAGTGCAGATGACGAAGAGGAGATTCCGAGTGTGCCGCCATCTTGAGCAGAGGTGGGCACATTGGCACCACCTGATGAATGAGGTAATGAAGAGCTTCCTATGACTTCAGAGGAGCTGGCACCAGTGTCTGGGGCTGTACTTTGGTCTGCGTCTCTATCCCTTTGCCCTGAGGTGGTAGAGATCTTAGCATGGGCAGGACTCACTGGCTGAGCATTGGCAGAACTGTCTGCATCATTTCCCTCATCAATGACAAGGCCAGAGTCTTCAGCATCACTGGAGATATGCTTCTGATGGGATATGCTGCTGCTCATGGCACTGCTACCCTCCACTGACTGAGACCCGGTACTGACTCCATCATCCCCAGGTTGATTTGAACCTCGCTCTGAATCTTGAGAGGTCACCACCTCTCCCACACCACCACTGCTTCCTACACCAGTATCCTGGCGGCGAGAGCTACTGCTCTCCACTGGCATAGCACTGGACTTTTCTGAAGAACCACTAACATGTGCTTCCCTTACGTGACTGGAGGAACTCTGATCAATTTCTCCATCTCCAGATTTGCTATCTCTAGCCCTACTTCCAGAAGAAACTTGTGATCTCTCATAACTATTTGAAGGAGCCTGATTTTCTGAGCTTGAAGGGGACATGGACCTGGGGCTCTGTCTCATGTGAAAGTTGGACTGTGGGTCATCAGAGCTGACTGGCCCTTGACCATAAAATGCTGGTGAATATCTTTTCTTGGCAGGTCTTGGTGAGACTTGCTTGGATTCCCCATAATCTTCCATAGCTCTTTTGCGTATGTCTAAAATGGGCCTTCCTTCATGATTCCCTCGAGAGGAGTCAGCAAAGGCTGGTCTGGGCTCACTGGGGGCAGCTTGTCCACTATTTACCCTGTCCATTGGTGACTGAATAATGCTGCCCCTGGGAGCTGAACTGGGCCTGGGCGGGTACGGGTGTGTCCTGGGGCTCCACCTGCCTGAAGATCCCATTAGAACCCCTGGGGATGGCTTGTTATGGCCATCAGCCTGTGGCTGGGGTGGAGGCTGATTCTGCTGTTGCTGTTGTTGTTGTTGTTGTTGTTGTGACCCTGGCCAGTGAGGGTGAGGTGACCGGTGGCCTGAATTAAATGAGGAGCTGGGGGTATTGGGATGACTACCACCTCTGCCATCTCTACCATCCCCTCCACTCACGCCATTTCTACTGCCAGGCAGCATAGACATCTGTGGGTTGTCTCCTGCTCCTGTGCCTTCCTGTGGATACCCTGACTGACCCACGTGAGGACTGGATCCATGAGGAACCTCACTGCTTGAAGCACTGGCTTGGTCTGAGGATCTGTTGCTGTGTACCACACTCTCCCCGCTTCTCATTACCTCTGCTATTTTGCTGCGGACATAATCCAAGGGGGACATGATGTTGTAGAAGGACAAGTTTCTGTTGGCTGAACTGCTCACTTCATTGGACCCACCTGATGAAGGATTACGGCTGCTGTCTGCTGGAAAACCTGAAAGTTATACAGTGATTATTTTAAACATCTAAGCAATGATTGATATAGAACTTTTTCAATTTTTTTAGTTGAAATGCAGTTAAAGTCTATTATAACTTCAAAACTTTATAGCTAAACCTTATCTGTTGTATAAATACAAAGTATGAAAATGAAGATCCAACATTTTACCTGGTCTCTGAAGGAGATTGGAGATTGCCTGGTGATGTGCAGCTATTGCAGAGGTGCTGCCACCTCGTGGAGAGCGTGGAGACCCTGGTTTACCGCTTCCTACATCACTGTTGTCACTGTTCATAGAACCTGAGGTAAAAGATGTTCAAGTTGGTGTTTTTGCTTTCAGTTTTTACAGTACAACATATCTTACTAAGTCAAATCCTTCCTTTTACATCACACATTTGATATCATAACTGTGATTGTAATGAAGATAATGTCTATCTAAGTATACTAATCTTATCATAACAAATGTTCTACAGAACAAAATGGCAAACTTACCTTTCAAACAGACAAGACCGTTAGAAAGGACCAATAACCTTCTTACCTGCTGGTGAAATGGACTCCACTCTGTAGGAATCCAGTTGTTTCTGGTCTGACTGGGACACCCCATCATCAGGTGCAGGGGGAGTGGGTTGTGCTGGTCTGGCACTCTGTTCCTCAGCTTGTACAGGTTGGTCTGAGGACTCTGGGGCTGCCATAGCCTCTGTAGCTACTCTTTGCTATAAATTAAATATACAAGGTAAGTGAGGAATCTAGAATTTATTAAATTCATCTTCAAACGAGTGTGTCAAGTTTGTCTCAGGGTAAAAATTTGGTACTTTAGGAGAGAAAATGACACCAAGTATTTCTCAAAAAAAAAAAAAAAAAAAAAAAAACTTGAGAAATTTTATTATATGTCCAAATTCAAATTACTAAGGGTTGTTACATACAACCTGAAAAAAAAACGTATAAAACAATAACAACACAGCATATAGAGCACAATTCAACTTCTAGCACTTATAAGCTATATATAAATATATATGTTAGTACCTGAAAATTTCTCTTTGGCTTGTACTGAGGCACATAACCAGTTGACCCAGTAGAAACCTTTGGCTGGCTGCTGATGGGTGAATGCTGCTGCTGAGCTGCTGGTGGCGAGGCCTGATGTTGTTGTTGCTGTTGCTGCTGTTGATGAAGCTGTTGGTACTGCTGTAACTGCTGCTGAAGTTGCTGTTGTTGTTGCAGAAGCTGCAGTTGCACTGGGTTGTTTTCCTCCCCCTCTGTGGCCCTGGTCACTCCAGCACTAGCTGGTGAGGAATCTGCTGGCTTACTGCGTGGAGACCCAGTGGGTGATGTGGATGCCACACTGCTAGAGCTATCGCTGTTCAGTAACTGTTTGATGGCAGCAGTAGTGCTACTCTCTGCTGCACTTTTTTCAGTGGGGAGACTGCCCATCTTATGAAGAAATCCCCCAGAACCAATGGCTGCTATCTTTTTCTGATAATCATGAATTATTATTGCATCAATGTGCTCACCGAGTGTAATAGTCTTAGAAGAAGGGCCTCCCTGTGACGACCCTGATGGGTGGTTGGAGGAGGATGAACGTGATGACATGTCACTGATGTCAGAGATGGGGCTGTTGTTTGATGGGTGCTCCAAAGACCGGCTTACCATCATGGTTCTACTCTCAACAGCCTCAGAGGAGTTTTCTCCCCTGGCATCTGCTTCATATCGACTGAGAGCAGCCTTGTGTGGCTTGTATGGTGGAGACCTGTGTTCAACCTGCTGAGAAGTATCTGGACTCTGGCGATTAAATATTGGGGTTAGAGTGCGTGGTCTGGGTAACTGTGGGGGTTGCTGTATATGTGGTTGTTGTTGCTGCTGCTGGTGCTGCTGTTGGGGTTGAGGCTGTTGTTGTTGCTGAATTAATGGCTTTGATAACAGAGGGGGCTGTGTTGATGTGGGCTCAGAGGGAGGCGGCCCAGTAACTGTATTATTAATCTGATGCGTTATAATGGCATCAATTAAACTGGCTGCTGTCATTGTAGTTTGACCCTTTCCTTTCAATTCCTGTTGCACCTCTTCTTTTGACATGTGCTTTTTTGCTCCATCTTTTTCAAATGAACCTGACAATAATTCCAATCCATCTTGCACTGCTGTCTCCCTATTCTCTCTATCTTCTAAAGGGACATCCCCATTTGACTGTTCAGTTGGTCTTGAAGATCTCTGATTCCCATACGATGGCTGTTCACTGCTGGGTTGATTTGAAGTAGACACAATATCTTGACTACTGGAAGGGCGACCAAGAGGCTGAGAGTGACTGCTAGCCTGATCAGCTTCCTGCCTCCTGGTCTCGCCCCGTAAATTTTCCATGCTACGACTATTACTTCCTGGACGCATGTCAACAGCCTGTGAGGCCTCAGATGTGGCTGCAGCTGCCTGAACTTGTGCCATACGAGAGCGCTGCTCTTCAATATAACGTGCCCTTTCCATTTCTATCATACGGGCTTGGTGCTCTGCCTGTGCATGCATCTGACGTGCTCTCTCTGCAGCCAATGCTGCCTCGTACCTTGCCTGCTCTGTGGACACTGTGGGGCCAAATCTAGGCATGGGCATTGCTCTGGCCTGCTCCATCAACTGTCTTCTCTCCCTTTCTCTATCTTGCTCTATCTGAGAGGTTTCTGAATCTGTCCTGGTTCTCTCTGAGTCAGTTCTGGTTCTCTCAGAATCATACCTTTCTCTCATCATGCGGTAGGATTCAACCTCGGATTCATATCTAGCTCGTTCCCTGTCTCTGTTCTCTCTCATTCTCATCTCTGCCATGAGGCGTGGTGACCTGGATTCTTCTCGACTCCTCTCGTGGGCAACAGACAAACTCTGAGCATTGGCTGCTGCATCCACTAACACTTGGAATGAGCCCCCACTCTCCCCACTGAATCTAAAACATACAAATACATAACCTTGAATATATCAACCACCTTGGATAGCCAAAATTACAGTTCAGGTTCAATCAACATCCTAAAATGATCTATTATGACAGTTTGCTATTTCTAACAATGTACCAAATTGTGAAACGGTCACATGTAGATCCTGGACTTATTGGGAGTGGGCAGGAGAATAGGGTAGAAATATATATTGCATTTCAAAGGGCAATTTGTTTTGTAAGGCATTTTCTATGAGTTTATCAATCTCACCTAGGTGAAGGTGTTCCCCTTGGATGCTGTCCTCCTTGTCTCTCTGGCCCCGGGTCACCCTTGCCACTGGTACCCATAAGTATGCTGCCGCCACCACCACGTTTTATTACATTCTGCCTTTGCTGGGGAGACCCAGAGGGAAACCTGCTCACACCAAGAAAATTATGTTTCTTGCAATTATGGTATATTCACTTCACAAATATTTTTATCAAAATGTTGACAGACAAGTCTTTGTTATTAATTGAGAGCAGCATGTTATAACAACAATGCAAACACAATTTTACAATTCCATAGCAAATTATCAGCAACTTGGTTATAAAGTCCTTACGATAACATTATAGAATGTTCCACCAGATGCGATTCTGTTTTTCAGTATAAAGCTATCAGTGCTCTAGGTGATAAGTCTTTACCAGAATAATAAACTGTCAAGCTCTTTCATTCAAATGCACTGACTCATACATCATAACAACTGACCTAGGGTACTCTGTGGGCCTGGCCCCAGGGTTACTGCCCCCAGAGGTACTGGACACAGGAAGTCGTGGCTGCCCACTGGACCAAGACCCACTCCCACTCTGACCATTGCCCCTGGGGGACAGAGAGCTCATCTGCTGTGATGGTGAGGTAGTCCTGGGTCTCTGGTCACTGATGGAGGAGGGGGGCACCTGCCCTGGGTATGGCGCATACATAATACCCTGGGGAGTCTGGAGAGGGATACCATATGCACCAGACTGGATGCATTCTGCTTGAGCTAGAAAATAATTATATTGTGATAAAAAATAAATTTGTGTAGGTTCTTATCTTACCCTTGTGAATAAACGACTGTGACTACAAGGATGTCCTAAGCCAAACAATTGATAATTTGATAACTAACAAACATTTAATCATTCAACAATGTATACTCTCTTTTGCTTCTTACCCCTGCCTGGGTAGTTGCCCTGTGCTTGTTCTCTATTTCTCGGTGACAAACTGGCCTCCTTCTCCTGGCCTGGTCCCCGTCTCTGGACTTCTGCTGCATGCATCTGCTGTGCTGTCACAAAGTCAGCCAGGAGGCGACCCCGGGTCCCCATGTACTCCTGGAGGTGTCCTGGCCCTGGGAACCCTGGCACTGGAGGAGGGTACATCCCCTGTAGACCAGCTGCTCTCGCATAGTCCATCCCCCCAGGGAACATCATAGGAGGCCGCAAGTGCCCATGGAGAGCCTCATAAGGGATCATCTGAGGCATCCTAGGGACAGAGGACTCGTAGCTGACCGAGGGCCGTCCACCTGGGGGGTCAGAACCTAAAGGGGTTCCCTGGGTAATGGATCCTTCAGGGCGTGTGGCACCGTGGGAGGTGGTGGTTTGAAGCAAACCTTCATAACGCCCTCCTCCCTCATACCTCCCACCAGCTGAGCTGTGAGGAGGGTTTAGGGGGGTCCCCTGGGTTATGGAGCCAGCAGGGGGTGGCATACCCAAAGGGGAAGCCTTTTCATTTCTGGGGCTTAGTTTGGGTGACTTTGTGTTGATGAGTGGTGGAGGTGGTGGTATGCTTCCACGCACTTGAGGTAGTGGAGATGGATGGGATGGCCTTGGTGCATTAAAGGAGGAACTAGAAGTGGGGTATGGTGGACGTGGCATCCCTCTCTCTAAAGGGTAGGCAGATGGTGATTTGGCCCGCTGATCCTGAAACCTATGCATCTCCCTCACATGTGGTTCCAGCCCCATCTGTAAAGCCTCCTGCTGAGTTGGAGTGTGATGAGAATGAGCAGGGGGTGGGGCACGCACTCTACCCAGGTTTTCAGGCTGCATGTATGGCACCTCTAGATTACGTGGATCGCGTGGGTCAAAATCACGAGGGTCTCCCTTGTAGCCTTGTGATATACGATGCTCTGTCGATTTCCTTGACAAATCTTGAACCTCATAATCCCTCCTATCATGTGGTACTGGATGATGGTATCCTGCCAGGGAGGAGACAGGGTGCTCACGCATTGGCTGGGGCATTGGGTGATCTGCACTGTGCCTGTCTTTCCTCAAGTCCTGTACATTTGATGGCATGCTGGGGCTGCCTGGTCTCTGTGGCATTAAGTAACTGTCATCTTTGGCTCTCGAATGCATGCCAGGAACTCCTCCTAAACAGTGAGAAACTTCATGAGATACAGCCTAAGAAATGTCACATATCTTTATTATTTCACTATTTCCTATTTATATAAATAACCTTTTATTATCTAATGAAATCAAATCACAATGTAGAATTATATTTCAGTAACTGAGTGGTAACATACACATGAACACATGTGCAAAAGCATACCATCTACCTGAAACAGTACCACGTTTTCAATTTTGACATTGTTACAACTTACAAGAAAAATGGAATGGAATTTGTTTTAAGTATTCTTTTTCACACTATGCAATAAAAAACATCCCAGATATATCATACAGCTATAAAACTTCAAACTTACTGTTATTCTGTCCTTTCACAGTAAGGTCTTGTGCTAAACTTTTTTCAATGGCTGTGTGGATAAGATCACGGACTGATGCCGGTCCACTTCCTGGGGTTGTTGGTCTCTTTGACTTATCTCCCTCTGTTCCAGTGCCTCCTCCCTTGCTACCACCGCCCCCAGTGCTTTCATTCCCCTGGGGTGGGTTGGATGGTCTTTGTGTCATATCACTTCCACCACCACCACCACCACCACCGGAGGGTCCTTGGTAATGTTGGTCTTGCCTGGGTGGATGCCTTGTGGGCGGGTATGAGTGCATGATCCTCTGGCCAGGACCATATCTGTTATACATAGTTTGTTTTAAAAAATAGCATTTAACTTACAATTCCACAATTATCCATTGATCAACTAACATAAATGTGCTTACTGGTCTTGCATAAAAAAATACGCATTCACAACGATTTGATTATGAATTCAATTATAATAAATGTACCTTTTTAACCTGAGAAAAAGAAAAGTCAATTTAGTTAGAAAAGAAAACTAACCTGTCTTCTTGGGATTCTATCTGCATCCTTTGCCTGTCCTCTGAAGACTTGTGTTCAACTGGTCTGGGAGGGCTGGCCTGTCCTGGGCTGGCCTGATGTGGCCCTTCATCAGCACTGACCGTAGCACTACTATCATATGGATCTGTAATACTCTTCAGGCTTGTCTCAGAAAAATTCATGGGTTTCTGCTGGGCCAGAGTGCTGGCAGAGGTGCCCAGGGGCATGTTGTCAATGTTATCATTCTTTTCCTCTGTCTGTTCATCCATCTTACAGCTCTCTCCTGGGTTATCTGGAGATGGTTGCTTCATGTCTGTCTCAGGGGGACCTGACTGGGCTGGGGGTGGTGGTGGACACAAAGTATCCATAGCTGATTCTGAAAAAAACAAATTCCAATTGCATCTAATTTTCATTTCATCTAATTTTCATTTGTATCTAATTTTCATTTGTATTATTTATTTTTTTTCTTTTCAAACACTTTACTGCTGGTGAATTGATATTATACATCATAATGAATAACAAATACCAATAAGAAATTATGATACAAACAAATTTACTCCTTAAATTCAAAACAATGAACAAATGACAAAGAAATAAACAAACTATCCATTACCCCCAGCGGGTGTAGCTTCCACTGCCCCAGGGGCTGGAGGGGGTGGCGGGCTGGGAGCACTATCTGTGTCAGAGGACATATCATTATCCTCTGCATTACCATCATCACTGGATGACATGTCTTCTTCACCCTCGGACTCTGGGGCTGTGATGGTGGAGGCAACACTCTCAGACATTGACAGAGTTCTCTCATGGACCTGGTGAATGGCAGAACAGATTTAAATTTAGAGTTTTATTATTTAATTTTAAACCATGAAACATCTTTTGAAAATAACTACAAAAACTTTTTTTCTGTGGCAACATTTGTAACCACAATTGTTAAAATCAAAGTTGCGATAAAGGGAATAAAATTTTTCCAGATACACTGGAAATCTATTATAACTTTCCTGAATCAACATATGAGAAAACTAGGCAAAAGCATGTTTGGATTTCAAAGAAAAATTGAAGTTCACTATGTACACTCAACTTTTCTGAAAACCATTTCACTTGTGATTTTTGAGTGTATCAAAAGTTGATAAAAAAACATAAAATGGTTATCATACCTTAGTTTTCTTGTACTCTTGCACCAAAGTTTCCAGGTTAAACTTGCGTTTGTAGTTGAAGTAGAAGTTTTTACACTGTGCCTCAGACTTGGTCCCTACCATGAGGGATATTGCAGCCCAATCCCGACCGTGCATGCGTAAACCCTCCTTGGCAACCTCCATTTCATCCTCTGTCCAGCGAGATGTTTCAACCACCTCTGAAAATTGGAAGACAAGTAAGATAAAAAACTATTCTAAAGTTAAAAATTTGCAGCAGTATAACAATGAAACTGTGGTCAAAAAAGTAATCTATATCTATCTCACCAAGCAATAAAATTGAACTTAACTTGACCTTGCACTCCTCTTTTAAAATTGTTGATAATCTTTACATTCAAATCAAACACAAATAAGCTTATAATCTTTTCTTTCATACCATCACCACCTTCTGGTACTAAAGGAACGAGTGGTTCATTTGTCTGAGGGTTGGTACCCAGACGACGAGCTATCCGGTTAAAACAAGCAGAGCAGCACTTGTTTATATCATCTGTCAGTTCTAAAAATACAACATAAAATCAGATCAATATCACTGAGATCAACATAAATACCTTCTAAAATATCATCAAATAATAATAATAATAATAATAATAATAATATGAAGCACATCAATTAAATATGCTTATGATTCACTAGATATTCCATTTGTTAACCATGTAACATTTTTTTTATCATTCAATAACAAAGAATACAGAACTCCAGGTCATAAATATCAGAAGTTGAATTCTTCTTATTTGCTCTCTCACTAGTACTGGTATAAATCGAATTTCAGTGTCAAAACATACTAAGAACTTACGCAAATCTTGAATAATAGGATCCTTCATCTCCATGGGTAATTCAGCCCATTTAGCTGGAAGGGGGCGCAGTCTTTTCACTTTCCTTTTAGGTGTTTTACAAGTTGGTACTGGACATCTTGAAAGAAAAGCATGTATCTGGCTAATTCAATTTACTAATATGGACCACTATATCAGAAACCCCCTTCTGCACATAAAATGTGTGTGTGTGTGTGTGTGTGTGTGTGTGTGTGTGTGAGTACATGTGCACACATGTGTGCATGTGCATGCAAGTGTACATATATAAGTAGATACCACTCTAAAACCATAGATACAAACTAAGTTTGTCAAAATAACAATTCCAGCCACTCACTGTGTGTATCTCCTCCTGACTGACCGGCACCTACAACTGCTGCACACCCTCATGTCCACCTGCAGGTCACTCTCCTTCATGCCATACAGGTCACAGTTACTCTTGGTCAGTGGTCGGCTCAAGCCAAAGTGCTCTAACTGGACCTGACAGACAGCACACTGGTGCATGCCACCCACATCTGAAACTTTCATTGAAGTATCAACATTTACCAAATTTTACTAGTAAGAATGCTATATTCTAATTTTCTTTAAAAGTTCATACCAGTCACCTACCATAATTATAATCAAAACAAATTAAATAGGTCATTGACAAGTACGATTACTGTATGCTGACATGTTCATACCAAATGGTTGCCACATTGCCAAGTTATCTGAGCCTGATGTATCAAAATCAATAGGAAAAGACAAAGAAATCTCTTCTAAAACTGGAGCGTGGTAAATTAATTATATCAACAACCTTACCATTAACTGATGGCATTGGGCCAGTCTCATCACCACTCTGTTCTTCAGTTTTCTCTGGCTCTTTTTTCTCCCTAAAATAACAGACAAATACCTCTCTATGATGCATCCTTTTTCATGATTAACATACACTCCATTTAAATATCCTTAGCACTCAAAGTAAAAGAAAAACTGTGCTCGAGTCCAAAAATGATCTTTCACAAACATCTCCACATGTATAAGTGCATAAGTACTGTCATCAGCACTTGTTATCTCATCTAAGACGCACCTTACAACTTTCAGGTCAGGATAAGATAGAACTTACAACACTTCACCCACATTCTGTTCTAAATATGACTTGAATGCAAGAATGTGTTCTACTTAACTAACACTCCACAAGTTGGTGCACTCATTTTGTGGTCTAATTTACATGCAGGTGTGATGTGACACAGGTGGAAGATTAATAACTCAACTGTGAGGGATACAAATATGTGGTGATTATGCTGAACTAGGGCAAGTCAAGGTCACCTGCTGGCATGACCAGGATATGGAGTGTCCTTATTATGTTGGTGACAGGCAAACAGCAAAGTTATCAGCCACGATACAGAGTGCATGATTATCATTTGTATTATTTTGACATAACTGATGATTCAACGCTGAGACAAAAAAAAACAAGTAGTATCAAAAGCCATAAAGTGATAACTGTTATGTTAATTTTAGAGCTCACAAGCAGTTAGGTCATTTTTGTACCAACCAAATTAATTCTATGTGCCTATTTGTTTTTTCTCTTTTTTATAAATGAAAAATTCCAAAAAAACAACTGCTTGTGACTTTTTTTTTTTTAAGCTTGGATGCTTGTCAAACAGCAATCAGTTTGTTAACACAGTCATACTTACTGAACATCCTCAGATTCCTGTTTTGGATCATCAGACTCCACTCTGCGTATGCTGGCCTTGGCAAATTGGCGCCTTTTCTTCACTGTCTGCTTTCGGAGCATCTGCTTATAATTCTCATTTTTCTTTGAAAGGTAGTAATACTGCACACAGTCTGACACACTCTAGAATGAAATAATGTGACTGGTGTAGCTCATTTGAAAAACTTTATATTGTTATGAGACAAACATTAGTAGAAGTGTTGTATTCAAATGACTAATATTAATATTTAATTAAAAAAATTATTTTATTAATTAATTAAAAAATAAATAAAACAAAGTGAAAGAGAACAGCTAAATAACACATTCAGATTTCAGAAACTTAAATGTGAAGGTGTTTCTCTCTCTCTCTCTCTNGTTAAAAAACTATTCTAAAGTTAAAAATTTGCAGCAGAATAACAATGAAACTGTGGTAAAAAAAGTAATCTATTTCTATCTCACCAAGCAATAAAATTGAACTTTACTTGACCTTGCACTCCTCTTTTAAAATTGTTGATAATCTTTACATTCAAATCAAACACAAATAAGCTTATCATCTTTTCTTTCATACCATCACCACCTTCTGGTACTAAAGGAACGAGTGGTTCATTTGTCTGAGGGTTGGTACCCAGACGACGAGCTATCCGGTTAAAACAAGCAGAGCAGCACTTGTTTATATCATCAGTCAGTTCTAAAAATACAACATAAAATCAAATCAGTATAACTGATATCATCTATACATAAATACCTTCTAGAATATCATCTAAAGAAAAATAAAATAGGAAGCATATTAATTAAATGTGCTAATAATTAAGTTGGATGCAACATTTATTTTTATCATTAAATAACAAAGAACATAGAAGCCCAGGTCAGAAATATCAGAAGTGGAATTCTTCTTTTTTGCTCTCTCACTAGTACTGGCATAAACTGAATTTTAGTGTCAAAAAGAACTAAAGAAGAACTTACGCAAATCTTGAATGATAGGATCCTTCATCTCCATGGGTAATTCAGCCCATTTAGCTGGAAGGGGCCGCAGTCTTTTCACTTTCCTTTTAGGCGTTTTACAAGTTGGTACTGGACATCTTGAAAGAAGAGCATGTACTCTGGCTTATGCAAGAAAATGAGAGAGAGAGAGAGAGAGAGAGAGAGAGAGAGAGAGAGAGAGAGAGAGAGAGAGAGAGAGAGATCAAGGCTGCACACATTTGTATGTGCATACATGCGTACATATATAAGTAGAGACCATTCTAAAACCATAGATACAAACTAAGTTTGTCAAAATAACAATTCCAGCCACTCACTGTGTGTATCTCCTCCTGACTGACCGGCACCTACAGCTGCTGCACACCCTCATGTCCACCTGCAGGTCACTCTCCTTCATGCCATACAGGTCACAGTTACTCTTGGTCAGTGGTCGGCTCAAGCCAAAGTGCTCTAACTGGACCTGACAGACAGCACACTGGTGCATGCCACCCACATCTGAAACTTTCATTGAAGTTGTACTAGTAAGAATGCCATATTCTAATTTTCTTTAAAAGTTCATACCAGTCACCTACCCTAATTATAACCAAAACATTTAAATAGGTCATTGACAAGTATGATTACCGTACACTGACATGTTCATACCAAATGGTTGCCACATTGCCAAGTTGTCTGAGTCTGGTGTATCAAAATCAATAGGAAAAGACAAAGGAATCTCTTCTAAAACTGGAGTGTGGTAAATTAATTATATCAACAACCTTACCATTAACTGATGGCATTGGGCCAGTCTCATCACCACTCTGTTCTTCAGTTTTCTCTGGCTCTTTTTTCTCCCTAAAATAACAGAGCAAATACCTCTCTATGATGCATCCTTTTTTATGATTAACATACACTCCATTTAAATATCCTTAGCACTCAAAGTAAAAGAAAAACTGTGCTCGAGTCCAAAAATGATCTTTCACAAACATCTCCACATGTATAAGTGCATAAGTACTGTCATCAGCACTAGTTATCTCATCTAAGACGCACCTTACAACTTTCAGGTCAGGATAAGATAGAACTTACAACACTTCACCCACATTCTGTTCTAAATATGACTTGAATGCAAGAATGTGTTCTACTTAACTAACACTCCACAAGTTGGTGCACTCATTTTGTGGTCTAATTTACATGCAGGTGTGATGTGACACAGGTGGAAGATTAATAACTCAACTGTGAGGGATACAAATATGTGGTGATTATGCTGAACTAGGGCAAGTCAAGGTCACCTGCTGGCATGACCAGGATATGGAGTGTCCTTATTATGTTGGTGACAGGCAAACAGCAAAGTTATCAGCCACGATACAGAGTGCATGATTATCATTTGTATTATTTTGACATAACTGATGATTCACCGCTGAGACAAAAAAAAACAAGTAGTATCAAAAGCCATAAAGTGATAACTGTTATGTTAATTTTAGAGCTCACAAGCAGTTAGGTCATTTTTGTACCAACCAAATTAATTCTATGTGCCTATTTGTTTTTTCTCTTTTTTATAAATGAAAAATTCCAAAAAAACAACTGCTTGTGACTTTTTTTTTAAAATGACCTTGGATGCTTGTCAAAAAACAATCAGTTTGTTAACACAGTCATACTTACTGAACATCCTCAGATTCCTGTTTTGGATCATCAGACTCCACTCTGCGTATGCTGGCCTTGGCAAATTGGCGCCTTTTCTTCACTGTCTGCTTTCGGAGCATCTGCTTATAATTCTCATTTTTCTTTGAAAGGTAGTAATACTGCACACAGTCTGACACACTCTAGAATGAAATAATGTGACTGGTGTAGCTCATTTGAAAAACTTTATATTGTTATGAGACAAACATTAGTAGAAGTGTTGTATTCAAATGACTAATATTAATATTTAATTTAAAAAATTAATTTATTAATTAATTAAAAAATAAATAAAACAAAGTGAAAGAGAACAGCTAAATAACACATTCAGATTTCAGAAACTTAAATGTGAAGGTGTTTCTCTCTCTCTCTCTCACACACACACACACACACA